CTGCAAACTTTTGGCAGATATTTAAATAAATAAACTTTATAAATTAGCACAGTTCTAGTTTCAGACAAAATGATCTCATTGAGACTTTAAAAATGATTAAAGTCAATGAGCCAGTGTAGTTATGATATATTTGAAATATGGTCAAAAGCTCCAGAAGTTATATCAGCCATAGCCAATTAGTTTAGCCTTGAAGGATACTGAAGCGAGACCCAGACCACAGTGTTCACTTCTCAATAGTTTTATTTTAGGCACAAAGATCAACAGAGAGAGAGTTTGGAGCTGGGAGATACTCAGGTGTGTGTCTGGCAGGCTCATGATTCCAGGTGAGTAATCCTTCTGGGAAAGAAGCTTCAGCTGATCAAGGACAAGGTGGTTTTCTAAGAGGCGTAGCGAAGGCAACATTAGCAAGAAAATCTCCCTGGGAGCTTCAAAGTGCATCAGAGAGTCTGATTCCCATTTACCGTGATGTGTCAGGTTATTATATAACAACAACCTGACGAGGAGTGCAGACTTGAGCTTGTCCTTGTATAGAGAGAGGTAACACAAACAGGTATGTCAGCCAAAGAACAGTAAAAAGGCTGATTCTGCTGGCAGGGGGAGCTCAAGGAGGGGCAACCAAAACTATACTTTAGAGAAAAAGGAGTGGATTGGAAAGGGAGAGAGCGGGAGAGAGAAAACCCTGACCAGCCCTGGACTGTGATAGTGTCATCTGAGATGTCAGCTGTTGTTTTGTCCGCTGCACTGCACTGCACCTGGCAAACATTGAAAAATATTTAATTCTCGAGTCCCATCTTTCTCTTCTCCAGTTCAAGCAGCAGCCTGCTCTACTCACTTTCAGATTTCAGCATCCACTGCTGCAAGAAAAAGTGCAAAATTCAACTCTTAGTTGAGCTGGTATGCATCATCATTGGTGTTCCTGTCACCTGAATTTCAGGTTTTTCCATATCCCAACACCCAAGTGACCCAACTCAGGATAATCAGACTTCAACTTTCATCTGAGCAGCACCCCCGTGAGTCAGGCATTTTGACCCAGAGCAATCTCATTGAGCTGTTCGCTCATATTAGAGTTTTCCTCTATATCCCACTTTAGTTCACAGCCTCAAAGATATAGTATCCCTGGCACTTTCTTTGATTAGCATCCTCCACACAAGCTCTGCCCACGCCTCTGTGAGCTTTAACATGATCACCTGCTTAGTGGAATCAAAACAAATGATCGTGACAGGCCAGCAAATTGTTGATGTCACATGGTCAGGAAATCTCAATTATCTCGAAAGGTCTATTTTTAACTGCCAGTGTGCATATGTGGATGTGCTGGATGGCTTTGGTTGTCAGCTTGATCGGGTTTTATTCCAACAAGAAAATGGATTCTGGCTTACAGCAACATTTCAAGCAACAACCTTACGACTTGTTCATGTCAACACTGGTATTACATTTGACTTCAGGAAGCTGTTGAATTAATTTTTCGGGGATAATCTCCAAAGGTGCAGATGACAGAAAGGAGTTACTGTCTTCCCTCAGATGGAGACGTTTGTTGGGGCTGGTAAGACATCGTGGATATCTTAAACTCAGAGGAAGTTCTGGCTGGCAGGTGTTACATCAGATCTTGTGCTGCAGTTTTCACCATCTTTATCCATATTCCTAGTTGTGGCATTGGCTGCACACTGTCCTTCTCCTTTGTTCTTCCTGGATTAGGGTACTCCCCTTGATCCCAAGCCTTGTCATCTCTTGTCTTTAGGGACTGCCAGATCATCCTGTTGCACCTAGAGGCCAGAGATCCCTTGCTGTCGCCAATGCTTATTCTGCCATATTTCTAAGCCTGCTGAGGAAACTTTTGGGTCTTTTAACCTTTGGCTGAACTCCTCTAGTTAGCATTTTTATTAAAATGCTACTTCTTCCACACAGTGTTGTGCTGCTGAGGCAGGGGGCTCAGTGATGGTTGGTGAGACTGCATATGCATGCAATGACCACAGACCCCGTGGCATGATGGCATGTTAATCTTCAAAGAAAGGCTCAATTTTGCAGACTTGGTGAGTTCTAAGTGAGTTCAAGTTATCCTCACCGAGCATCACACTAACAGTCTCGGTTGTTTTATTCGAATGTCCACAACTAACTCAGGGAACTAAATATGGATGGTGCTGGGGTCTATAAAGAACAGGATGCTTAATTTGTTTACATTTTCTGTCATTAGCAATACAAATTTAAAGCACCGCCTGGCTGCAAGGAGATAAACAAGGGCTTAGAGTTTGTGAGGAGAAAATCAGCATAATGCTCTATATTTACGTAGAAAGTATCCCACTCCAAAGGCAACATATGGGCCTTGACACTAAGCTGAAATACTTATTTTTTTGCCACGTTTTATATTACTTTACACATAAGCCCACCAAGCCCAAAGTCTCTTCTTACACACCTGTTTTTGTTTTGCTCTGTCGGTAGCACACTGGCTCATATGCGTACACTCATTGCGGGGCTTCCACTGTTGATCTGGTGAATCAAATGGCCCGCTGCTGACCCATCTGCTGGTGCCTAACACTTGAGACACGCACTTCTCCACAGTCACCGAAGACACAGAAACGGTAAAGGTTAAAAACACGCAGATAAAAGAGCACAACCCTCACACCAGCTGATATTCAAATGATGATGATGAATGACCTGGAGTGCCCTAAGAAAATCACACCGTTTTGTTAATGTAACACTGGGTTTGTGAACACAATATACAGTGATAAAACATTCAGCTAGGCATATGGTGCGTGGGACTGTGTCTGGAAGGGAAGCCGGCGAGAGAATTAGCTGAGCTTATCTGGTGACCCCGTGAATGTGAACACCCCTGGCTGTGATCTGTCCTGGCAGTGTGGGAGATCAGGTGACTGCATGGAGGGAATTAAAAGCTTCTCACTGTCACAAGATAAACAGGCGTCTCGTCATTGTCTGGAATAAACGCTGACGAACCGTCTAAGCCTCGGCTCACAGAGAGAGAGAGAGAGTCTGAGGTCTAATCTGCGATTTACATGCCAGAGATGGGAGCATTTAATAGAGCATGTTAATAGTGTCAATTAAATGCTGATCTTGCTCTGTGGCAAGTCTCCTCCAGAGCTCCAAACGATCTCATCAGCAACCATCAGCGTCATAACTATATGATCGTGCATATTCTGCATTCATTACAGTAACTGGATGCTGCTAGGATCCATGATTATGGTAATGACAGTGCATCACGAGTTGGCAGCGACTTGTCACTGGCACTCAGAAGCCGCAGATGTGCTCAGTCTCTGCTGCCATCTGGTGCTGAGAAGCAGTAATGCTAAAAGGGCATCTGGAGTCAGCTTTGTACTGTGAGCATAGATGATAAATATCATAAAGCATCCTTCATGCCACTCCTGATTCTGAGCCTATTATTAGACAAAGCACTGAAAATGCATAGAGATATAAAATTTTGCGTCATAATTTTCACATATTTTACAAAAGCAGAGTTTGGCACCACTAATGTGGCTCTCTACAAAACTGGAGCACTCACAAGCGACAACGATAGTTAAAACCAGAGTGTGAAAGTGTCTCAGTTTAAAGCACTCGGTTTTAATAGTAAAGATATCAGATTTCCAATGGTCAGATAGTTTGGTAGATATGCACTTTTTCTTCATTGCAGAGAGTTAGAAGAGAGGACTGATGCCACTTTTGTATCCATCAAAAAAAAGTTGACAGCAGATGAATGGTGTCATGTTCTTAAGAAATAGAAAAACATTCAGCAAAGACCTCAAGCAGGACCTGATCTGCTGTTCGCTGAAGTCTCATCAGAAATGCTCGTAGTGGAAGAGTGGCTGTGAAGGAGCTGTTCTTAAAATTTAAAATTACACAAGAACTGGACAGAAAATCGGTGACAACAGGTCTTGCAGGGTGATGAATACAAAATTCGAAATCTGTATAAAGACACAGTGGAGGTTCTGTTAGGTTCAGTGCTGCATTTCATCTGTGTTGAGAATTTGATGAAATTGTAAACAACAAAAGAACCATTAGATTTTGATTCACCATGAAATAACATCTGACTGGCAACATCTTTGTTTTTCAGTACGACAATGATCCTAAACGTATTACCACTGCAGTAAAAATGTACCTGATTGAATCATGGATTGGCCTCCCCAGAGCCCGCACCTCAACATTAGTGAAGCAATGAGGGATCATCTTGACTACATCTGCTGTTTTCTAAACCTCAGCAAAGATAACTGGGAGAAAAAGAGTTATGGCAAATCATACAAGAACTGTGGATAATTTGTGGCAACAGTTCTTATGGAGAGATGAATCTGAAGAATGTCAGAAGAGAGCTCCAACAGTGAGCTGCCATTTGTAAAACAGGGTGTAGGCTCAGTCATGGTTTAGGGCTGCATTTCAGCCAGTGGTGTTGCAGATCTTGTCAAAATTGATGGAATTATAAATGTAGAAATGTATCATCAGATTATGGTCCACCACACAATACCATCTGCCAATCCAATAAAAGCATACCTGGATAGAAAAACACTATCTGTCATGGATTGGCCTCCTCAGAGCCCGGACATCAACATTACTGAAGCAGTGTGGTGTCGTATTAACAGAGAACAGAAGATAAGGTAGGAGCATCTAAAGATGAGCTTTGAATGTCCTTCAAGAAGCTGGAGAACTATTCCTGAAGACTACTTAAAGAAATTACAAGAAATCTGCCTGAGAGAGTTCAGGCTGTGTTAAAGAATAAAGTCGGTAACAAATAGTAACTTTCAAGCTCATTAGAAATGACAGCCTCTGTTTTTTCCTGATGCATTTCTGTGGATGTTTGCTTTGATAAATCACCCATTTCCCATTTTCCCAGCAAAATATAAAGAAATGACGGGTGGCTCAACACAAGCACAGCACTGTGTTACTTCAACAACAACACAGCCTAAATGGTGACAACAGCTAAACTGTTCCCGTTTTAGGATGCCACTCTGACACATATTTACATTTAGCGTAATGTATTGTGAAAGTAACTTTCAGCAGTCCACTTCCTTCTGGAAAGTCACTTTTATTTATTCGGATTCATAGAAGCATTTTTAGAAAAAATACTCATTTTCAGGCCCGCAAAATCTGATTAAAATGATCTACTGTCTAGTTTAAATACTCTTGGAGAGACAGGAGTGCATGGTAACACGTTTCTCAGTCATCACCGGCAGCATACATCAAAAGCATACTTACAAACACGGTTATCAAATGATATGTTATCACAAATAAAATCATGATTGTTAACTGGCAGAGTTACCACAATGGTTAGTGCAGTTATATATTCAGTATATACATCCAATTAGAATAAATACACTACAAAACTCACTTTCAGAAGTCACAGATTGTCAGTTAAATACAGATAGGGCATGAAAAGACACGCTTTCAATATTAAATGATTTTTGCACAAATGCATAAAACAGCTGTTTGTGAGCATACTGGAGACACACTGATCCACTATGTTTGTATGAAAAGTAGAGCTTTGTTTATGCCTGAGAGTAAAATAGCGAGTGCAAGCAGTCAAAACCGGCATACAGTACATGCATTTTCAGCAACAAATGTTTGCAGGGATTAAAAATAAAAATATATTTTTAAAAAAAAGACATCCTGTTGAATCTTTGTCAGCCGAGTCCACAGTTTTAAAAGCTTGTCTCTCTCCAGTCCTCCGCGTCCAAGTCCTTTCTTCCCAGCAAACGTCTCCTGGTCCACAGGTAATGTCATAATGCATCTCTGTTACCAAGCTGGGGGCTTTCATAACCTACAGAAGCAAATGTACTGTGAGTGGTGGGAATAAAAAAAATGCTAGACAGCTACATTACACTTAATTCCACAGTTAGACTGGAACAGCACTCTGAATGAATGCTAATGTTGCTGCTTAGCTCAATCCGGAAATATGTAGGGCGATAAAATGTCAGTGTTGTGTTCACAGCAATGACTCTTCAACAGTCAGTGGTTCACAGCTTGTTTCTGCTGCCCCCAAGTGGCCAAAAAATAAAATAAAACTGAAAGCTGCACTTCTATGGAAACAGATGGCCGTCTTCTGCATTAGTTTTAGAAGGTGATATTTCAAACGTAACTTTTTAAGCTTGCATGAGTGGGTGGAGACAAAAAAAAGCTTTGAGCTTAAAAAAACCTGGAGCTAGGCTCAGATATTATCTGCCGCATGCAAAAAGAACCTCTCGGTGTGGACAAGAAACACAAACGTGACAATGCGGCGCTTAAACTTCCAATACACCTAAACTCATCCCGACAGGTCACAGAGGATCCCGCACGCTCTTTATGACCGGCTTTTATGCTTGTGACACGTGGAGCCTTTTATCATTCTCACAGTGATGATAATTGAGTCCCCTGCAGCAACTTGCTGATATATAGTTCTGTATTACTGGGATAATTGGCAGTAGTTTTTGGAATGTCATTAGAGCTGAATTCCACTGCCCCGGGGTTTTCACATTCGGCGTCAATCTGCTCAAAGCAGGAAGAGATGATGAATCAGCTAAACCGTACTGCCAATTAGCACAATAATGGAACATGATATCAAGGAAAGAATCTGCTCCAATTAAAGGAGGGGAGATAAAAGGTCCTCGTTTGAAAAAGGGAGAAGGTCTCATCTAACAGCACACTAATCCCAAGCAGTGTCAGATCCGGCTGCCAGCTGCAATGAGACATATCTGGAAAACAGCCAAATTCCATCTTTAAATTATGTTTTATGATCTCTTTCTTTGGCAATCCAATTGAGGCAAAGGAGGCTTGCATTCAATATGTAGGGTATGACTCATCTCTGTTAAGCGTGTACACGTTTAGGCTTCCGCAAATGCTAAAAACAAATTACTGAAGATTTTGGAATATGAATGAAAGATTTTATTGTTATAAAAACAAGATGGGGAGCAAAAGAAAAAAAATACATTGTGCAAAAATCTCAACACGCATGCACTTCACGCTGCTTGTCATACCGCACATATCTGCAGGAAAGAGAGACGGATACATACACCCGGTCCCAGCAGGGTAGTCCAGAGACCTGTTTCTGCACTGAGGGAAATAGGGTTTTTTCACAAGGAATCTGCGATCTGAAGACCTCTCCAGATCGTAGGGCACATCCCGTTCCATGCCTGGGAATAAATGGCATGAGACAGACACACACACACATAGTGGGGTACAGGAACTCAGAATAAAGGATGCAGGATAAAGCAACAAGTTGATGCGCAGCCAGCACGCTCAACAGGGTTGGAAGCACATCAAATAGGAGAGTCACGCTGAGTTTGTTTGATAAAAAATAACAAAGGCGTTGCGCCATTGTTATGAATTATGAACAACAACAAAAAAAAAAACCAAGACGTGCATTTGTATCTTTACGTACTAGTGCGCAGTACTACAAAATGCATGCACAACAGCGGGGCTGCAGAAACAAACACAGCACCAGACACACAGTACCTATGTCAAACGAGCTGGACTTCCTGGTCTGATGTGATGCTGCTGGAAATCCATTATGGCCTCCCTCCTCATCTGTGTTTGTTGGTTATTGTTAATTGGGAAGATCACAGCAATTATTTGCATCTTATTATGCCAATCTGCCCTTTCTATCCACATCATTAAGAACACACTGCCTGCTAGAGATCTGGCCTTTTACTTTTGGGGGTGTTTACGGTTCCTGTGACTGAAAAGCAAAAGAAGACGGCCATGCATGGAACGTAAAGATCTAGAACGTTCGTGATGGTGATGTTAAAGTTCCAGGTTTATTACTTTATTTTTAAAAAAGAAGAAAAAACAAAGAGGAGACATTTTGGACTGCTATGACTGTGCATAGATATAAAATGACATGGTTACCGTGACTGATTACAGCAGGATCTGCTGCTTCCATCCCAGGCTTGACAGACGCCGGTGGGCTCATCCTCTCGGTGCTTCCCTCACCTTCAGCGATGGGTTGACCAGGAGGTAAACACCTCTGATCATTGATTTGTTCTTCTGCTGGGGTGACGGGGGAGGTCTTGGCCTTATCTGGAGAGGTCTTGTCTCTAGAAACATCCAAGCTGGGCTGATGGAGGAGCACAAAATTTGACTATGCAACAGAAAAATATGACAACAAGATGTGCTTTCTCTTATAGTACGTACAGCGCATACAGCATATAGTTACCTTATTGGGAATGAGAGGACGCTCTCCCTCTGGCCCTCGCCCTCTCTGTTTCTCCTCGCGCTTTCTTTCACTCTGGTCTCCCTCTGCCTCCAGCCTTCCTGCTTCTTCTGGGAAAACAAAAAGCAGCCGACACAAACAAAGCTCAATTTATTTCGGGATTTCTATAGTAGCCTTGCACGATTCACAGGTCAAAGTTATTCTTAGCTGTCTTCAGTTCATCCACTTCCTCTTTTCACTCTGACTTTAGGCCAGTTTCCTTCTGATTGGCTGCCCCTCACTAATGTGGGTGGTGCTGCTGCTAGTTCTCCTGAAACAACTACATCCATTCTTTGATGTCACACAGAGCAAAAAGTAACCTACAAAGAAAAAAAAGACAGCCCGTCTTTCTGAAGCCTGAAGAGGTTTTTGGCTCACGGTTTTTATTTATTCATAGACTAAACTCATTTTCTGAAACTTGTCTAATATGAGCATACCCCACTATAACAGTACATATACACTATACATGACGTAAGATAAGAAAAGCAGAATAAGACCTGAAGCAGGAATATTGGCAAGCAGCACACATTTCACACGAACCTGGGAATGGAAGCCTTTGGCTGAAGGGGCTGAAAGCACAAACTGTGCAAATTAAAACCAACCAACCTGGATTGCTTTTCCATTTCTGTGTTAAGAGCTTGCTCCAGCTTTTAAGAGACAACTATTTATATGTGCTGCTGTCCACAGCTTGCATTAAGGATTTCAATCGGACGATAAAGATGCACATCCCTGCACCCTTTCTCCGTTTTAACGCCAAACTGCTGGCTTTAACATTGATTTTATGCCATGACCACTTCTGTTACAGTGATCTCTTAATTCCCTTTGAGTCAGACTGCAGTCTACAATACTCGGAGGTTTTACTCATTAAGAAGTCTAGACTTGAGACTTAACAATGGCTCTTTCGCCACAAAAGGCCTCTATAGCTATAGCCAATCATGTCATCGTCTGCTCTCGTACTGCATCTCTCATTAAACACACTTTGACATACTCGTCTACACGGTTTTTGCAGCTTTTGTGAGTTTTCTGCTTTTTTTCTTCTTTAAAAACATGGCATCTTCTGATTGTTTTCCCTTTGAACTTTTATCCAACAAGACAGTGATCTAAAAATATATCACGGTCAACCACATGCCACGTGTACAGTGTACAGTGAGTCTATTTTTAGAATTATCATTATTATCAGTCATTCTAATAAGAGTCACACCTGAGTCTTCATCATTTATTATTTTATCATCATATTCATACCATGTGATTATTATCATGTTGGATACTTATTCATCCAATAGGGACATTTTACAATATTATACTTTAACAGAACTTCAGTTGTTGTTTAAATTGCAATACCTAAACTCTCCTGCAGGTGTCTCTGCCTCATGACAGCCAAACTGGGCTTAGCACTCTGTGGAGGCGGCTCTGGCCTTGGCCCACCGGGGGCCACGATTCCACCTCCGCTGCTCTGCACATCATCTTCTATCTCAGTCCGCGAGTCTGTCAGGGGCACAATCCTCTCCTGCCTGGCTGTCTCCATCTGTCTGTCCGTCTGTTGTTTGGAGGACACCACGTGGCCGTTAGTTCGAGTATCTGTCGGGGCATCTGAGATGGTGACTGATCTGTCAGCATCCTGGTCTATCCCTTTGATGTCACAGTTGCTGCTGCCATCGGAGTCTTCGATTTCTGCCCCGATGCAGCTGTACACCATGCTGACCAGGTCTGTGGACTGGATGAGGACAGAAGTCATGGACACAGTTAGAACGAGTCAAATTGCTGATGATTTAATGAATAGCATAACTCATAATCTGGTGCTAACAATAGAGAAAGCGAAGGCCTTAATTAAAATGTATTCTGTTGAATTCAATTATAACAAAATTAAATTATCGTTCATTTTTTTGCAGTGGATGTCCTCAAATCCCCTTAATGATCACTAAGGATCCACGGGCTCTACTTAAGAGAGAATTGGAGTAATCCAAGCCGTCCCTCAGCACAGAGTTTAAATAGCCCTCCACACCTTAGGCAAGCTACTACAATAAGACACATAAAAAGGCTGGGAACAGCAGGTGGCTCGGACAGCACACGGCACTGTTACATGTCATGTAGAACTATAGAAAGAAGTAGCAGCTGCTCACTCATGAATTAAACTGGAAGCAGACTTGAAAAAAAAAAAGGAAATAGAAATGCATTAGCATTTAATTTAAACTTTAAAATATTCTTTAACTATTAAACACTTTTATCAAGTCACTGTGTTTGGCAAAGCCCTGAGGAATGCAATTTCAAAAAAATTAAATGAACACTTTGAAAACACATCAGATTGCAATGGTGAGAAAAGGATATAGATGTAGCTGCAACATTGTTGTGCACCAGGAGGAACCCAGGACCCACTGCACCAGCGTAGGGTCCTCAGGCCACCCTAATAAAGTCTGTATCTGATTGTTTAGTTAGAGACATTCACACCAGTGTCCTACTTGTAGCTCTGACAGTGCTCATCCTTTTCTTCCTTGCACAAAGCAGCAGATACCTGTCCTGCTGATGGGTTAGGGACCTTCTACAGCCTTGTTCAGCTCTGCTAGAGCAACTGCCTGCCTCCTGAGATGGAGGAGACACAGCAAACTTTGTGGAAATAGCTGGACTGATGTGCCATCTTGGAAGAGTTGGACTACCTGTGCAACATCTGTAGGGTCCAGGTATCACCTCATGTTACCAGTTGTGACACTGACCCTAGCCTAGCTAAATGCAAGACTAGTGAAAAACAGCCAGAAAAGATGAGGAGGGAAAAATGTCAGTGTCCTCCACCTGTAAAAACATTCCTTGACTTGGGGGATGTGTCATTGTTGCCCCTGTTAGTTAGAGACATAAGTGAATCTACAAAAGCTCAAACAGCCAACTTTTCACAGCACGGTACCTGTCTTTGGATGAGGCAGGGGGGGCTGGCAGTTCTCATCCCATGCACCGGCATGCCCTGAGTTGGGTGAGGTAAAGGCATGCTCCCATTTGCTCCTGGGACAACGCTCTCCGGCCTCACGGCATCTTTAGGATGCTGAATCATGGAGTAGACATTCTCTGAGGCGCTGCTGGACAGAAAAAGGCAGACTTTTCAGCACTGGTCCCTCTAATTGACTTCAATCATAAACCATACACTACATTTTGGATACAATATTATTATGCTTATGAATTTACAGTAACACCATCAGTTTGAAACACTGCAGTTTTTCTGAAGCACAACAGCTTACTTCCTACACAATGTGCTGCTGTTAAAAAACAAAAGAAATGAACGTAGAGAGCAAGCCAAGTGAACGCAGCAACAAACAATCTCTTTGATTGCTTAGCAACATTCTGCAGGTGAAAGCTTACAAAACGCAGCATACTGTATTTAAGAAACTATTTCCATCTATGACTTCCCCTCAGATGAGTCATCTTTGCTTTTATGCTTCTCTTTCAGACTCCTGTAGACTCGGCCTACAGCATATGTGTGAAATTCCTGCACCGCAGCAAGGCTGTTAACCAGCAGAGGCAAAGGCATCACCGTTTTTTTTAAAGCACACCTCTGAGCTGAAAAACAAACTGCGGCTCTCGCTGAGAAACCCTTTCGTCCGTTTCGTGCAGCTGTGTAGTTTAAGTGAACAAAGTGCGCCTATTAAGTGCTATTCTCCCCACTCAGCTGTTAATCTGTGCAAATGATTTTTCTTTTTTTTTAAAAAGTTTGCAAACTTTTTCCACCAACACTTTCTAACTCCAGCGCCATTATGTAACAGCAGCTCAAATGCATCCAGCGCCATAAATTCAAAGCAAAGGAAAACAGCTGGGGATGGGGAAATATTTTCTCCTATTCAAATATTCATGAAGTTTTGAAGTGGCGTTAATGCCCAGCGCTGGATTAATTTAACCACCATCTCATTCTCTGGGCGTGTGCTCTTAAATGTTACTTTCCTCCACTTCTTCCACTCGGCTCCTGTGCTGCATACTCACTCCGAGTCCTGATTAGAGATGGTGGAGTTGCGGTTCTTGCGGAATCCTGAGAAAATGGACAACACACTTCGTCTTTTCTTCCTCCTCAGAGACTGGGCCTGATGCAGGGACGACAACTGACTGAAAGTGAAAAGTAGAGAAAAAAACAGAATGAGTAAACTAAAGCATTGGGTAAGAGGGTAGGCACACACAGTGAGATTAAAGCTAGATTGCATCATTTGGACTGTTTTGTTTTGTTAATGCAATCAGCCAGCAGCCAGTATTTATCAGTATTCTGTGAAAGTCATAAGTGGCAGGCTAAACCCAGAATTAACATCCGACTACATTATTTGAATGAACCGTTTGACAAGAACAGGAAACATAATTAGTATGCCGAGTCCTGAACACATGGTTTAATACTCTGGACAGAAGCAGTGTTTCTGCTGCCTAAGCACACTGCTGCTGAGCATGAAACTTACACTGGCATGTAACTTTAAAACACTTGCAGGGTTAACCATCATTTACATAGTGCTGTCCAGCTTTGAGATGCAAAATCATGCCGATTTTACCAAACAGTTAATGTTACTATGCTATGACATCTAAAGGAATAATGCTTAAAATGAGCTTCACTTTGCATAAATATAAAACATCTTACACTACACCAAAACCTTAACCCAAACTTTGGAAATAATTTAAAACACATATAATTACTAATTAAAAAAAGCAGTTTTGTGTTAAATATGTTTAAAAATAGCTTGTGTAGCTTTTCAGCACTGGCCTAATACTAGAATACTTTGGTTATTTGGGATAGTAGCACGAATAAAGTTATGTAATAATTCACACTTTATTTTACACATACAGTATATTCATAAAGTTAAAAAAAATGGTTTTAATTTCTTATACAACATTAACTAGATTATGGAAAATTGATTGTGACTTGTAAACAAAACTGTGAAATATAATAAAATAATAAATTGGCCTTATTTATTGATAGGGCTAACATGTCAGCAACTCAGCATCTATTTATCTTCAAATTTGGGACAATTCTGGCATCCATCTGCAGCTGTGTTGTGCTTGCCTGATCAATTTAAATTCAATACTTACACCACTTTAAACTTTGTTTTTGGTGTCCAGAGATTACTCAGATTTAAAGAAAATAGTTCAGCTGCTAAATAGTCCACTGGTATGCAAGTGGCTATATAGACTATTTATTTCAAGGTAGTTAGTAGTGTAGGAACATGTAGTTTTTAGTTACAAATTCCTAAGTACCCCAAAAAAACAGCTGAAATCCTGTAAAATTAAAAAAATAAAATTAAATATGTTCATTCTGTGCAGAGGTTAGGGGGACTGCAGAGTCAATCAGCTATCCTTAAGTTCATTCATTATTTATTATTTTCACTTAGTTCCATCTTCTTTGCCAACATTTCCTTCTGGGTTTGAGTCTTTGAGGATGCAGCTTCAGTCACTTATCCACATGGCACCACCAATATACCAACACTGCCCAGAAAAAATGGGAACATGGGAATTTTTCCAGTGAATAGCATACTGTAATTGACTTGTGCATAACTGATTTTATTCCCACTTTTGTGGGGAGTAACATTGGAATTTTAATCACCTCATCTACTGACATGGTGAAAGACTTAACAAACAGTTACTCACTGACACATTGAGCACATACTGAATATCATTAGGATTGTTCTGCAGTGACAGTTGGTAACTCTGGTAATTACTCTCCTTTAAGCACTGCACTCGGTCTCTATCAACAAAATATGTGGTTTCTTAGCTGCTAAATGCTCCACTATGTCCAGCAGCAAGTCTCCAGCTTTGTGTTTTTACTCCTTAAAACGTATCACGGGTTCACAACTGCAGAGTTCTTGCAAAGATTTAAACAGCAAATTAAAATGCACCATTTGCATTCTTTAGACACAGCTACTGTTCTCTTCTTAACATTCAGAAATTGCCCTTCCTTCTTCTCCGTCATACTGTGTACAATGCTACAATCGTAGATGCCGATATTAAACAAAGTTGTAAATGCTGAAATATGAGTGAACATATATCTAAATGCTCACTTTCAGAATTTTTTTTTTACTTTTAGTGCTGTATGATATCAGTGACTTGACCGGCTCTCACACCGTCTGTTAAATCTTTTGTCAGTGAGGTAAAAAAAGTCACCAGAAAGCTGACTTAAAGGGAGGAGGAAGGAAGATACAACAGTTTGTTTCAAACAAAGGATGACTCGAGGACTGCACCAAGACCTAAGGTGATGCAAATGTGTCCAAAAGCATGCGTTTCAACAAAAAGTACAAGGTAAAATTAAACGTGTGGTTAAGAAATGCAGGGAAAAGAAACTACAATGGAAAATGGTACATTGTACTTTATTTGCATGTTGTTTTTTGTGTGTTTGTTTTTCATTTTACTGTTTAAATGACAAACAATAGAAAACAGGTTTTACTGATACACCAGATGTAAGACACAGTTCCCTCAATGTCTCGTCTTGTGTGTCGTCCTCGGGGCTCAGTGTAGTAAAGAATTTATCACATACTTAATGACTGCACAGAGAGAATTCTGGCGTCTACCTGTCAGGTAAAACTCGTTTGCTGTAGAAATCAGGCAGTCCGTCCTCCAGCATGTTGACTCCTCCATTCTCAGAGCAATGCTGCACACACACACACACACACACACACACACACACACACACACACACACACACACAGTATGACAATGATCAGTCTTGCCATGCCGACAAAGGGGATGAAAGGCTGACAAAAGTTATTATCATTTCTAATGGCTGGCTGATAAACCTGAATCTGCTGCCAACAGAAATCTGTTTGTAAAACAGCTCTTCATCATGCTGCCCTAACTCAGTTTGTACTGATTTAGGGGGGAAAAGCTTTACAAAGTCTCGAAACAAACAAGCTGCTAAGTTAGCGGCTGCCCTGTGGCCCAGGGGAGATGGCTGCGCATGATTACCATTTGAATCACAGAGACACGTGCGACAGCTTCCTATTTTAAAGAGAGCTTATTTTTGGAAGGTGCCGCTGGCAATGAAAACAAGATGAATAACAAAAGTTCACATGCAGCAGCCAAGAGATTTAAAAAAGAAAAAAACACCTCAGAAAAGCCATGTTTGGTTTACTTTCTCTCGTTTGCCTCCCTCTGTGCACTTTTGTGGAAACACATGGACTGAAGTTCATGCTGTAGTATCAGATCAAAATAGGCCAGTTAAACACATACAGTGGTGCTACAGGCGCAATAAAAACTCACTTAAAAGTGAAACTGGTCAGTATACATCCTGTGGAAGCAGCTGCTAGTCTGGAGGGGACACTGATCCCTGCCCACTGAAGCTCATAACATGGTCAAATGTCACTGCAAAGTCACAAACTCACGGATTCAGGAGGTAGGTGTCCTGCTCTGTGTCGCCGTGGCGGGCGTGGCCTGGCGTGGGTCACGTGGCGTAAGGGGGATCCATTGGTGGGGAGAGTGGACAGACACTCCCATGATGCCGAGTGGGTAAGAGGGGCAGAGTGAGGTGGAGCTGAAGGTGTCGGAGAGGAACTGGGCTCCTCGCCTAAACCTATGACAGGAAGGGAAATGGATTGTGACAGAACTTCATTTATGCAATACCACTGATAAAATCCTCTTTGATTGGAATTAAATGTATGATTAGACTAAATTTGCAATCAGCTTGTGAATTTCACATTTTTATTGCTTTTGAAATGAGAAAAAATGCTTCCTGTTAGAAGACAAATCCCACTAGTGGGGAAAAGGCTCACCCATGGTTGGGTTGGTGTCAGAAAACAATGTTATTTTATAATAATGCTTCATTCTATCTACAGAAATATTACTATACTGATTACAGCCCAAATGAAACAACATTATCTCTTATGTCATTCTGCCATGTTGGACATTCATTACTGTAGACGAAAAACTACTTAACTGACTAAAAAAAAGAAAGATCAAGTGACTCTTGCCCTGGTATTGGCTATCTATATAAAACAGTAATGTGCAAAAGTCTCAAGCCATACTTCATGACTCCATATTTTACTGTGAAATGGAAGTTTGTCCACCTTTATTCTTCAACACAGCCTGAACTCTGTCTCTAAACCTCTTTACATGGTCTTCAGGAACAGTTCTCCAGGCTTCTTCAAGGACAGTCAAAGTCTTTCGTTCTGTTCTCTATCAAGATGATCCCACACTGCTTTAACTCATTCACTGCCAGCCATTTTCAAATCAGGTAACTCCCCACTGCCAGGGTTTTTGAGCATTTTTACTCATTTTTGAAGAGCCACAGAAAACTGTGTGTTATGATCATATAAACGCTGAACCTACCAAAATGAAGAACAGACTCTCTTCTTTCATCCAAAAAAAAAAAGCTTGTTTCTACCATTTTCCATTCTTTAGTAATCAGCTGTAGAAGAGAGGTGGGTTCCACCAAAAATGCCTGTTTTGACCAAAAAAAGGGAGAAAACGAGCTTTTTGTGAAAAATACATTTCAAGCAGAAAAGTGCCTTTGACACCTCTAACATATAAAATAGTTTTTCACTTCTATAAAACAGAAATAACACTGAGAAAGGTTATGTTTTATCAAAACAATTTATTTACAAATATATGAAAAAATAAAATTCACTGACAAGCTGCCCGAGGTTGTATTCTGGCCCCTCCCATTGAAAAACGTAATTGACGTCTATAGACGTCAATGGCAGTGAATGAGTTAATAATGCTTAGGTCTGAGCTCTGGAGGCCAATCCATGACTAATAATGTTCCATTGTGTGTTTTTCTATCCAGGTATTCTTTTACTGCATTGGAGGATGGATGCATGTCAAGTCCTGTATCAGGTCTCCCAACGTCTCTATTTCTTAAAGACATGATTATTAGATACCTTTCATCTGCTGTAAATTGTTTTTTAGGCCTATCACTTTTGTGTTTTTGTCTTTTCCTTGTCAAGGTTCCTCAGGACACACAGTACACCACGCTGAGATTTGACAACTTGTGGTCTAATAGCTCTTTGAGAATCAACTTGTTGGTGCAAACATATTATTTTTTGCATGTCAATCAATATTTTTTTGTAGATCTAACAAAAAAAGGGGAAACAATTAGGCAGTTCTTTGGGGGACTGTAACACAGTGCCATAGACGCAATTAAAACTGGGTTCTTTGCTAAGTCGTCTGTCATGTGTAGACACAACACTGGTTCATCCCTCGAATGAGGTGTCTTCTTTTGCTTGCATGATTGATAGGTCAGTGATAAGTGGCTTCACAATAAATAAATAAATGAAATTAAATCAATTCTCTGAAAATGCTTAGATACAAGGACTGGACTGAAAATGAGTGAATAAAACATGTCCAAAGAAAAACTCTGAAAGGCCTTCTGAAAGCAGAAGGAGAACTAGTACACAAAAGCTTTTACAACAAATTCTGAAACAAAATATAAAGGAATGAGTGGTGACTTCAGACTTTTGCACAGTATTGTATTTCACGATACTTTAGCACGTGACAGCAATAATTTGCGACTACAGACTGAACACTCACTCAGTCTGGTGGAGACGGGTCGAATTCTTCTAGTTCTGGAGCTCCGCTTCTTAATGGCCATGGTGTCCTTTTGTAAGAGATCATTGTACATACACAAATGCCTTCACTACATTTATAACACAATTACAACGCACAAAAAAGTTAAATGGACAAAAGTATCCCATCCTCGCTAAAATAAATGAATGAAATAAAGTAGATCAATGACATACACGTACAGTATTTCACAGAAAATCCAACTGGAGTAAAGCAAAGGCAATGAAAAGATGCAGAAACTGTTTACAAAATCTAAGTGTGAAGCTCAGAACAACAGCATGTTGGAGGGTACAGGAAGTGTGGGATTTGTCTTGATTTTGAGAAGAGTCACAATAAAAATACTCGTGTTGAAGGGGAGAAAAGATCTGAAGTTGAAAAAATTTAATTCTTGTTCAACACGATTTGTTTGTAACCAGCTCTGAGCGTCAGTATGGTGGAACGGATCAGAGTTTCAACAGCAAAACTGCACCAGTAAACAGAAGTGAATCAAGCATTGGGACACTGATGTTTTACCTGCTTTCCAATATTTACTAGAGAAAACTTACATTTTTAAGGCTAATATCTCCATGTGCCGTGTGTATCTGGTCAAATCATGTTATCCCATATGAAAGGCTTCCTTCTTCTTAGTTGGGATTTTTTAAATTTCTCATTCTGTGCGCCCAAAATGTTATAATATATTTTTAAAATAGCACTTTTTAATGTTTGAACCACCTTTAGTGCTATATATATATATATATATATATATAATATATATATATATATATATATATATATATATATATATATATATATCTCAAACAACTTTAGATTCAGTAGAAGTTCTTCAATATCCCTGCAATCTGAGCACGCAGAAGGGCCTGGATCACAGAGGGATTCTGGAACAAAGGATGCTCACTTAAAAAGCCAGGTGATGAGGACACTGTACTGAACACAGGTTTCACAGCAATTTTAGTGAGAAGTTTAGTTTCAAATTAGACAGTGACAAACCGAACAGGCAACAAAGCAACAAACTGCAAGGAGAGCATCCATTTGAAAATTTAATGTGGATACAGTGGGTGAAATAATTATTCGATCCCCTGCTGAACACAAAGAAATTAAAAGTCTCAAATTTTTATGGTAGTTTCATGGAGAGAAACAGAATACCAAAAATCCAGACAAAAACAATTTACACTGCATAAAAGTAATGATTTGCATGTCACTGAGTGAACTTTTATTCCCAAGATCCCACCCAGAATTCTGGCTCCCATAGACTGGCTGCGTGCCCATGCAAAACACAGATTACAATTGATTAAATCAATTACAGCCACTCCTGATCTCGACTTGTTATGTGTATAAAGCACACCTGTCCACAGGAACAGTTTCTTCCATTCCAACCCTTCCATCACCAAGACCAAAGAGCTGTCAATGGACATTAAGGACAAGCTTGTAGACCTGCACAAGTCTGCAGTGAGCAACAAGACCATCAACAAGAAGTTTGATTAGAAGGTGACGACTGTTGGTGTGAATATTTGGAAATGTAAGAAATATAAAATGAACCTCATTCTGGAGCTCAACGTAAGATCTTGTCGAATGTATCGGCCCAAAACTACACAGGAGGAGCTTTTTAATGATATGAAGGCAGTTGGGACCACAGTCACCAGGAACACCAGTGGTAACACACTACGCTGTAATGAGTTGAAATCTTGCAGTGCCCACAAGGCCCCCCTGCTCAAGTAGGCGCATGCACAGGCCCATCTTATGTCTCCAACATTTAGATGTTCACTGGCAGAGAAGACTTGGGGGAAAGTGCTGCAGTCAGATGAAACCAAACTCTTTGAAATCAACTCAACCCGCATAGTCAGAGAAATGCAGGGTATGATCTAAAGAACACCGTCACCACAGTCAAGCACGGTGGCGGAAACATGGTTTGGGGCTGTTTATTCGCTAATGGTATAGGACTTTTCACAGCAGTGACGAACAAATGGACAGGACCATGTGCTGTAAAGTATTGGACAAGAACCTCCCTTCCTCAGACAGAACACCGAAGATGGGTTAGTGACGCATCTTCCAGCATGACAATGAACCAAAGCATACCACCAAGCCAACAAAAGAGTGGTTAAAGAAGAAGATCATTAAGGTCATGGAGTGGCCTGGCCATTCTCAGATCGCATCCCTTTAGAAAAACTGTTGAGGGAGCTGAAGTGTCGAGTTGCCAGGCAGCAGCCAAGAAACCTACAGGATTTAGAGTTTCTGTTAAGAGTAGTGGGATAAAATCCCTCTGAGATATGTGCAAGCCTGGTGACCAACTACAAGAAGCACCTTAACGCTATGTTTGACAACAAGGGTTTCTACCCAAGTACTAAGCCATGTTTTGCGTTCAAATCATTATTTTTCTCAATGACATTAAAAATTTATTTAGAACTTTTTTGTGTTTTAATGAAACTACAAACTACCATTGAGCAAATGTACAAATTCAGCAGAGGATCTAATAAATATTTCTCCCACTTTTTTTCCGGGAGTCATGAAATTATGAGGGTGAATTAAAAAAAAAAAATCACACCTTACATTTATGCAGACTCCCCCAATTTGAGGGAGTCAGAGATGGATGAGAACCTTTCACCAGATTTGGTTGATTTTTATGTGGTATGAACCCAATTTTTGGGGTTGTGGAAAACAGTAGCACATCTGGAAGAATGAATGCTTTATTAATCTTTTAAAATACAGGTCAAAGGTGGACATCTTTCCATTGTTTGCTTTGGCTCTTCTAAACCATCAAATCAAATGTAACTTTTCTTCCTCTGTCTTTTGTCTCTGAAAACTGGTTTTGTTCTTAACACTTATTTTAGGTGCAGTCAGTTAAGTATTATATCCATGCCTTGAAATTAGACATGCTTCTTTTTAAATGAAGAAGCTCATTCTTGTTAAGTGTGCACATGAGGTCAGCGTGTGTCTCTCACACTTACTATTCCCAGGTTGACACCAAAGTCCTCATCGGGGAATTCCAGAGACTCGACTATTCTGGACTGTCTGACAGTGCGTCTGCCCGTCCCGACATCGTCCCAACGCTTTGCCTGGGACACCTGCCGCAGCTGATGCAACACACACATCAAAGGCACGTATCATTGCATAGACACAAACGCTCACACTCGCGCAGTGATGACATCTGGAAATATATCCTTAAATGCTATCTGGGAGGAGAGGCATGTCTGCCCTTGTACCTGAGAAGCTCACAAACAAAGTACTTTACCACCGTTCGTAAAGCCCATGAAGAATATGAATTAAATACAATATCTTGATTATCAAAGCAGAGTAAGGCAAGATAGAGGACAAACCGGCATTGCACCAAAAGAGAGAAAGGAGAATGAGATGTAACAGCAGACGTGGTGAACTGAATGCCAAGCAGAGCAGGGGAGGCCATGTTATTACTAAGAGTCGATTTTTTTCCCTGCTTTTCCGCTGGTTTCATTTTAAACAATTTAATTTTATGGAGAGGAGAGCCCGGAGGGTCTCATCATGTCCTTAACCAGCTTAAATAAAGTTGTTATCTGGCCTCTGAGCTCAATATTCTCTTTAAAGAACAAAGCTCTATACCTATATATCTTCATTGTATATGTTAATGACATGCGAACCAGGGTGTCTTCTTCAGATAACTGCACGCATTAGTATGCTACTGTTCACCTGGAATAACGAAGAAGAATTTATCCAAACTATGCTTGTACAGTTCAGAGTTTTTATTAACATGTCTGAACTAAATGTTTTCAGTTTCAATTTTAACTTCGCTGATATTTCAATATGATCTTGAGAAATTTCCTATCCTGTGCTTGTACACTGGTACGGCTGGAGGTAGGATTATTATTTTATCAACCATGTGTGCGATGTGCAATAAATATACCAGAGTTATAGCAGCACTGAAAGACAACATCCATAACAATATTAATGTTTGAAAGCATCATATGGAATATAATGAATGAATGTCCACAGCGTAGGAGGACTTTCTTAATTCGGTTAGACATCATTATGTATATATGCACATAATGGGTACTTTTCCAGGATGTATTTATTTGTTATTATAAATTTATTTTAAATGGGCTGCTATGGGAACACACGATAGAGAACATTTCACTGTTGTTCACTGGAGGTGCACAGGAGCTTTATAATTGCTTTGCATTGATAAACATATTGCAAAGTGGTGACACAAGTATTGTAGACCCTCTGCTCAATTACTCATAATCTACTGGATGATACTACAAAAGTGCTCTTATGCATAACTTGGTTATAACAAGGGGTTATTCGAGGTACGGTTGCCATCACATCAGCTCAAAGCACTCTGGCCATTTTCCTCTGAACTCTTATCAAACAGGCATTTTTGCCTAGAGAGCTGCTGCTCACTGGGTATTTTCTCTTTTTTGGACTATTCTCCATAAACCCTAGAGATGGTGATGAGGGGGAAAATCCCAGTAGATCCACAGTTTCTAAAACACCAACAAATGGGACAAGTTCAAAGTCCCTCTCTGATTCTGAAGCTTGGTTTGAACTTTAGTGGGTTATCACGACCATATCTAAGTACATAAACGCACTGAACTGCTGCTGACTGGTTGATTAGACATTTGCATTAAGGTGAAGTTAAACAGGTGTAGCTAATAAAGTGTAGAGTGTACACAAGTCATAAAAAATCATTTTGGGGTAACAAATTAGATTCATTTTATCTTTAATTTTTTGATTAAAGAGAAAAAACAAATGGATATTTGGGGATATAATATAAGTGGATGTTATTGCTTAAGGCTTGATGGAGACAAAAAGGCTTAATAGTCCAGCACATGACGTGTCCTGATGGTTATTTTACTTGAATAGAGCCAAGTTGGCAGTTTCGCCCTGTTTTCAATTTTTATGCTAATTCTACAAGATAACCATCTCCTTCCTTCAGTGACATATTTAATAGACTGCATTCCCAACACAGCAAACAATTTTCTTTATGAATATAACTTCAAATAACACAAACCTAAAGTGAAATCTGTAATGTTTTATGCATGTGTGGTAAAAAAAAGAAAAAAAGAAACTGAGGTGAGCTTTTCCTGTTATTTGCACAGTTCAGACAAACGCGGATCATTTTGGTTGGTTTTTTTTCATATAGTCATATTATAAATTTAACTATATCTTAGAACAAAACAGATTCCAGCTTTACATTCAAATAACATTTTTTTCTAGAATCTACAAGAAAGCATGCAGTAAAGTGATATTACCAGTACCAGGGTTTTATGGGTGGTGTAGAGCTCTTGTAGAATCTGATCAACTATGGAGTTGGTCAGATAGGAGACCACAGACAGCTTCACTTCTCTGGGATAGAGAAAGTAATAACAGTTCAATCAGTATCTCGAAGTTCTTTGCCTCTCTAGGACTTTTTAAACCACTCTCTTTCTTACTCCAGAGCTCTGTTGATGTCCTCTGCCGCCCTCTCCATCAGGGCGTTGCGGATGGCGGAGCGAGGGATAGAAACTTGTTCAGAGATGGACGACAAAGGTGGACTCAGTCTCTCAGCTGCTGAGCAGGACATGGGGCACAACTCACGGCAAAGGGACACCATGGAGTCCACAACCACCTAGAGTAGAAGTGTCCCAAGACATGTATCATATGTCGCCTACAGCTGATGGATTAGCTATAAAAACATATTTATATGCCCAAAACTTGTATTAATAATTCATATAATCCATTTGTCTCTTCAAGATGTTATGTTTATCAGACATTTGGGCAAAAACACACCTCAACTATCTAAACCTGCATTTTTGGCTCTTTTGTTGTTTTTTTAAATTGATCTTAACAAATGCAAATTACAAATGCAGCGTCTAGCATAATAACAAAATTAGGCAGCATAAACAGGGATGTAAATTATGCTCAAGTAAGTTGAAATTCAATACAAAGCATGCCATATTCCTCCTCGGGGTGCGTGCTGCTTTTTATCATTTGCCTATGCTGTGCTACTGAATCCCAATGAGACCAAAATGGAACAAAAAAAAATGTCCGAGTGTTCCCTCCCTGAGAATTTCTTTTGAAGTCAGCATACCTGCACTGCACACACATTCACACGGCATTAATGGGCAATTTAAATGCAACTAGTACAGCGCTCCACTACTGTTTAAAATACCAATGCATCAGCGAAGGAATGTTTCAGCGATTACAACCAAGGCCACGGTTCAAACCCACCCCCAGCCTACCTGCAGTTCTTTGTCTGCAGCCTTGGCCAGCTCTCCTGCCAGAGTGTCCAGGCGCTGTTTAACAGGTCCATCCACTGACAACACGTGGGCCAGCTCACACAGAGATGGATAAAGCTGATGAACACACAACACACACACGTTCAGTGAAAGTAGCAATAATACAATGAAAAAACATCCACCTACATTAAAAACTGGTTAAAGGAAAAGCAAATACTAAAGAAAAATAACACATGGAATGAAAAGATTTGCTTTGTCACATTGGCTTTTTAATGTTAATGAACATGGTGCAAAACAAAGCATTTGTATTGGGAGTTGGCTTAATCCAGAATGAGTTTTGGTTTACTTGCACATTATTTTGATATAAAAGTCAATTCTGCAGCTCAAATAACGGAAGAAACAGTGGCCTCAATTTTTCTACTGATGATTACAACAAAGAAAAATCTGCAATCTTTACTTCAGTTGGTGATATATTTGTGAACTGTCTTGCCGTGAGCTTTTCACAAACTGTTTTATTTGCCTTAGTTTTGAGATGGTTCAGTCACGTCAGATGAAAAAAGCATCCTCTTGCAACAAGGGTAAAAAATCTCTGGTTGCCCAATGACTGAACAGAATTTTCTTGCTACTGAATGCACGTAGTTGTGGTGACCGACTTGTTGCTCAGAGACTGAGCGTGCACCTCGTTCTGTGAGTTACCATCGTTTAATGTCAGTTTCTGTGGACGGTAACAGATTTGCCACAAATGGCAACAGATTTAATTCCCAACTTAACCCTTTGATCACAAATTGATAGCAGACTGACTTTATCTTATTGCTGTTCCAGTCTCAACGCAATGAAGTTGTTTTGAAGATGGCAACTGACTATTTCAAAGGCAGTGAGATGGTACGTTCACTGCACACAGTGGCAATAATTTTGTTTGTGCCGCAGTCTCCATCCACTGTTTTCCTTTTTTCTGTGAGTGAAGCATTATCAGGCAACCCTTCACTTCAACTCCTCACTACAGCATCCAGAGAACAGTCTGTTTATTCAGCCTCATCTGTGGTGCTGGTGCCCACCTCTCAATTTTAAATTGCATGTAGACATTGAGGGTCTTGGGAGGGGCCGAGCTGTCACCAGCTGTTATCTTTCAGAGGGTTGTTGGTGCCATGCCCCTCCCCTATTTAAGTGCACTTTAGATCAGCACGCATCAACCCTGCAAGCGGAGTGAGGTATGGGGTCTTTTCACATCCCCATTCTCTGTTTGCTGTCAATGGGCCAGGAGGAGGAGCTGGCCGCCTGGTCAGGCTCTGGACTGGTGGGCTTCCCTGCTGCTGCAGGTCAATGCGGTCTGCTTGTCTCCACCGCAGAGTAAAGGGAACCACCTCCTGGGTCTGGGTGTGTTGGTGCCTGGACCTGGGAGTATAGAGGGTGTATGGGGAGTGTGAGAGTGCGTACAGCGTTCATTTCTGTGTCTCCATGTTGGGCAAGTGCGGAGTATTTGTATATGTGTGCATGAGGGTGGGAATGGATGCTTGTGTCTGTGTGTGTGTCTGTTTGTCTTATGTCTGTGTGTCAGGTCAGGTCTCAGACTCCACCTCTCCCAGAGCATCTCAGGCCAACCCAGTATTTTCCCCCATCACATTCCCTGCTGGTGGCTGGTGTCCCCACCCGCCGATGTGTTGGTGGTTCTCTGTGACTGGGGCTGGGTGCTCGGGTGTGTACTGGCTCACTCAGGGCAGCTGCCGGGGGGCCTGGCTTCTCAGGCCACTGCTGGGGGCGGGGGACTCTCTGGTTTTTGGGCCCTTGGGCTTGGTCTGCTCTGGCACAGCTGGCTGCTGGTGGAGCCTTGTCGCTGCAGCCCCCTGTGGTTTCTACACTATGGCTGCTGAGTGACCGCCATCTGAGGCCCTCCTCACCTCTTTTCTAGATGGGTGCCATCATTGTCCCTGCGGTGGTCCTCCTGGGGCTCTCGTGCTCTGGGGGGGAGCCTCTAGATGTCTGGGGCCCAGGTCTCCTCCACGCCTGCTTCATGTCTTTGGGCGCAGGGCTGTGGCTTCCACACCCACTATTAATTCTGTTCAATTCAATTTTATTTATACAGCGCCAAATCACAACATCAGTCGCCTGAAGGTGCTTTATATTGTAAGGCAGATCCTATAATGACTGCTTTGAGTGCTCAGATAGAGTAGAAAAGCTCTATATAAGAATCAGTTCATTTACCATAATAATTATTATAATATAATAATAATTCTTAGATACTTAAATGGATAAACCTTATGAACGCAAGCGTCTTCTCACACACAAGTGTCCAAACAGGTACTCACAAATGCACGCTGTTGTTTTCGTTTTCCTGTTTTTTTTTCAGCAGATGATCAAGCAGATTCTCAGGGTTTCTTCTCTCTCTCCATCTCTCTCTGTCCCTCTTCTTCTTCTTTTCTCTCCCTCACCTTCTGCTAACTTTCTCCACAACTTCTCTTTCTTTCTTTTTTCTATCCCCTGGTCTACACCGTTCTGATTGTAATGACTTAAGATCAAAAAAATCCTAAAGTATAACTATGAAGTAAACCAGTATAACAAAAGCCATAAAGGTCCACTTTGGAAAATCAATATGTTGGGCATGTTGTTTAGCCTTCAGACAAAAACTCTGATTCCTACACTGCCGGACAGGACAGACAAAAAAACCCAAAAGAACTCACTGTGTCTCTTTGCCTCTCTGTAACAAAATCAGGAAATAAACAATAACCAAAACAAAATAATTAAAAATATTGGTTTAAAAAAACAACAACATGAATGATGCATCATCTTTCTAGATGCACGATTTGTGACTCGACAACCATCTTTATCAGCCGTTTGATTAGTCTGAAGCATAAATGACTTTTTAGTTCACGTCACTAGGACATAAAAGCTGCACTTATAAACTTGTCAGTCACATCTGACAGAAAAATAAAACGGGTCTGCTTGCTTTAACCCTCCTGTTATGCTGCAGGTCAGATTGACTCAGAACAGAAGAGATGTCACATGTCATCTGCATCACTACAGAAAACAAAAAAAAATCTAAATTATAAAAGAAAATTGTAAAATAATCAATGCCAGTGTTTCTGACACTTTTGGATGAGTAAATTTGCCCCGGGCCAAATTAACCCAGGAGCATAATTGGTGTTCCTGGAAACCAACATAGCAGGAAGGTTAAGACATAATAAGGTTTTAGAGAAGGATCTCAATATACCTTTCTTTGAGTGCCATCTCTTTCTTCTTATGCCTGCATTCATGCAACCTCTGAGCAGCTCTGGGTGTAGAATTTTAAGTGCATCCCTAACAAACACTATGAAATACAGCTCCATATAAATTGTAAAACTGTTGACAAGTGTTGTGTATAAATAAGCATGAAGAATGTACATTATGCTCGACAGTGTCCAGAACCATTTATTAAATGTTTGCGTACTGCTTTAGAGTAAAAAGCAGGGAGAACGTGCTTATTTACATCTTCTTCCTTCCTGTTAAATTGTATTTGGAATGCAACAATCCATTTATCACTTACAATCCTGTTCACGCCTTTTCTTTAGAAGAAAATAGAAAGCACTGCTCCCCCCGCGTGTCTCCAGTGTATGTGTTGGTGTAGGTGTTGAAGAGTGCAGGTCTACAACTGGTGATCGGTGAAGGATATTTGTGTATTTGAAGAAGTGAGCAGCACGAAACAAACTGTGCTGCAAAGCTGTGTTTTTCATCTTGTTCTTGCTCTGTTTGCAGGGCACATACATTAAGCTCAATGCAGAACATGCTATGTTTATTTGCTGCTGCCGCAGGATATGTGTATTGAAAATCAGGTTATTAATACTTGATTGGCGTTCAGCACAAACAGACTTCTCATTTGGATTCTAGCATTCAGTTTGGTCAAGTTACACTGCAGTGCTTGCAGTTGTGGCTGTTGAGAGCTCATGTGGCTAAAGCATTGTACGGATTTATGGATGCTGGATTATAATCTCCCACACTACAGAAGCCGTTATCGATTCAAAATGGCTGCACCAGCCTAGCGTCGGTCTGGGTCAAAAAAAAACAACCCTCATAATCTTTATTCTCTATGTGTTTGTTTGGCCAGGCTGTATTTTGCTGTGCAGGCTTGGGTTATAAAATACTGAGTGAACCCTAAAAAAAGGTTTTAAATAGCTGCATTTACAGCTGCATTAATGCACGTTTATATGGTCACAGAACATCTTACAGTTGGGTCTGACGTCGTGCTCCGGGTAATACTGTGTAATAAACATTTGCATAATTCCAGTTTTACTGGTTTTTGCAGCCCTTTCGTTTTACTTTTATTGGTGTTTTCCTGTTCCGACCATGAGCTTCAGCTCTTGTATTTTAATGCACGAATGACTATAAGGAGGCTGCTAAATATGTCTTTGCATCAGTGCACTGTGATGCAGTTAGGCTCTGTAAAGTTTCTCCAGGGAAAAGGGAATGCCTTCTTAGAAGTGGATAATCCTGCAAACTAATTGGTCACTACAGCAGTTAGGTAAATGTAGTGAAGGACAAAGTACAATATTTCCCACTGCAATAAACTGAACTGGCACACATTCATTAACTAGATGCTTGGCTTTGAACAGTTCTTACCATTGTGGGATTTTTATGATGTAAGGGGGTAATATCCCTAATATGGTCACAGCTCACCATGAAATTTCCAGCTACCGCTTGTCCTGCCTCCATTTTTCACCTGGTGTTCAAATCTTGTGTTTGAGAGGGGCAGCCAGTTAAAAGTAAGCTGTTGCAGTGGGAGACGGCTGAGCAAAAGTGTGGATGACCTGGGAGGTCCACCAATACCCAGAACTCCGAATCATACAATGCTGCAGCACTATGTGAAAGTTTTTAATCAACTCTCATTTTTAACATTTTGTTACTTATGGAAATACATCATATAAGGTAAAAACAGACTTTGTACAATTCTAACGAGCTTTAAAGTCGATAATGAAGTGGCGACCTTTAATCTTCAACAAACCCTGAACTCTCCAAGGCAGCTGTTTTTGTAATTTCTAGTCCTCAGAAATAGTTCTCCAGGCTTATTGAAGGACATTCAAAGCTCTTCTTTGGATGTTAGCTGCCTTCTGTTCTGTTCTCTGTCAATACAATACCACACTTCAGTAGTGTTGAGGTCTGGGCTCTGGGGAACAATCCAGTGTTTTTCCATCTAGGTATGCTTTTACTGGATTGGCAGATGCTATTGTGTGGTGGACCATAACCTGACAATACATTTCTACATTTATAATTCCATCAATTTTGACAAGATCTGCAACACCACTGGCTGAAATGCAGCCCTAAACCATGTCTGAGCCTCCACCCTGTTTTACAAATGGCTGTAGACACTCACTGTTGGAGCTCTCTTCTGACATTCTTTGGATTCATCTCTCCATAAGAACTGTTGACAGAAATTATCAGTCCAGTTCTTGTATAATTTGCCTTAAGTCAGCCTTTTTCTCCCAGTTATCCTTCCTGAGATTTCGACTACAGCAGAAGGATCAGCTGAAGGACCAGATGCATCGCTTACGTTTTGTCAGATCTTTGCTGGATTTTATCCCTGTTACTTTAAGACGTGACTTTCAGATGGCATTCATCTGTTGTAGATCATTCTTTACGTCTTTTACTTTTTCTAAGAACATGCACACCATGCTGGGGTATGCTACGTTTTGGACGAATACGGTACTTCTTTAGGGAATCACCTTGTTGGTGCAAAAAATATTAAATGTGTCATATTTGGCATTTTTCACAGACTTTACTAAAGAAATGGGAATAAATGATGTGTTCTTGTGAAAGGCTTTTAGCAACAAAATGTCTGAAGATATAGTTTAAAACATGTTTTTTGCTAAGTTGTGTGTTAAGTATAGACAGAACGATGGCTCATCCCTTGAGATAGATGTCTTTTTTATGCTTGAGTGATTTACAGGTGAGTGTTAAGTGGCTTCACCAACTATAAAGAAATGAATGCTGGTTCAAGACTCTAAAGTACATGTGGAAGAGTCAAAGATTAAAATACGTAGCCACACACACACGCACACACACACACACACTTATAACCCACTCACAGCTCTCGAGTTCCTTGCTTCTTTGAGGATCTGTCTAGCCGTCTGGACCTCCTCTCCTTCCTCGCAGCCTTTCAGGACACAAACCTGCTGCTGCACCCGTACACACAGACGCTCCATCACCTGCACACATACACATGTGCAAAAGTGGAGGCATACAATTAGACCCAAAACAGAAGTGACTTATTCCTCAGCATGAGCACAGCCACACACCTGTTCAGCAGTGCTGGTGACGAGGCCTTGGTGCAGCCTGAGAGCCTGTTTCTGAGAGAAACGCTGAGTCTGGTTGTTCCTTAGCAGGGCACGCTGGATCTGTCACACACACACACGCACGCACGCACGCACGCACGCACGCACGCACGCACGCACGCACGCACGCACGCACGCACGCACGCACGCACGCACGCACGCACGCACGCACACACACACACGCACACACACACACACACACACACACACACACACACACACACACAGAAAACAAACAGGGAGGAAGAGGAGTGGTGATGACAGGTGTTTACAAAGTGCGGTGTGCGGGAGACAGGAGACGAACCCATTTGCATGGTAATAAGGAGACTAGAGAGAGAGATTTGATCCCTAGAAAAAAAAAAATACGGGACGCCTTTAATCTGTTTTCTTGACTCAGCAGGTGGATGCGTTGACTGCATCATCATCTTAGCATATGTAAAGAAAGATTGAATAAAGAATTGCACAGGGACTCTGAAGGCTCACACGCATTGTCCAAGCTAATAAAGCCTCAAATTAAATTAAAAGCTCTCCTTAGGGAACCGTGTTTGATTAGAACCAGAAAGTCTGCAGGCAACTTAACAGTCAGAAATCCTACAGATATATAGTAGGGTTGCCAACCGTCCCTTAAAATACGGAATCGTCCCGTATTTAGAAACAAAAGTACACGTCCCGTATTGAGCTAATAAGGGACGCACTTTGTCCCGTAATACAGTGAGAATCAAAAGTAGTCTATAACTTTTAATGGAATTAATGCTTTGTTTGAAAACATAATTCCCAGCCCCTCTCCTGCTTTGTGACCAATGAGCTGACAGCACACTTATGACAATTCGAGTATGACAATTCAGATTACCGTTCATCTCATTGGTCGAGGAAAGGTCGCTTGCGGAGAAAATACCGGAAGACAACAGATGACCACAACAAGAAGCATGGCCAACAGGGAAACAAACCCCGACACTGCGGTGCACGTCTCGGATGACAGTACACCTAAAGCTGGGCAGACACTGCGATTTTTTTCAGTCACGTTATTCAGCTCCTGCTCAAACTGCACGATTGACTCGCAGGGGTTAGAAGTTGGTAGGTCACGATGCAGGTCTCACACTATACGGCCCGATGCTCTGATGCGACCTGAGAGCTCACACTGTGCGTCCATAAAATTAAAGTTATAACAGAAAATCTGTCGCTCGCTCTCTCTGTCTTTCACTCACACAGACACACCACCACCATCAACTTTGCTAAATTGCTAATGAAAAACATTGATCAGGCAGCTGTGATTGAGCAGCAGTGTAAATCCAACTATTTTCACGGTTGTTGTGGTCGTGATAATTTTGTGATGCCACATCGAAAAGGCTCGGATGAGCTTTCCAAAGTTCTACAAGTTGTGCCTCCATCGCTTGTGTCCAGATCACACGCTGCACTGCCGTGCTGCTCCATCTTTTTCGCTGACATTTGTGTTTGCGCAGTGTGACAAACTGCGGTGAGGTTTGAAATCCTCGCGACCAAGCGATTGATGATCGGGAGCCCGTCGTGAGGCTTACACTGTGCGATTTTTGGCCCATTTTGAGCCGATTTTTGAGTCGTGCGACCGTTTTGGCGATCGGCCCGATTTTGGCCTTCATCGTGCGTCGTGCATCGTGTAGTATATGTGGGGTAACGAGACGCGATTAACACCTCACGACGAGCTCCCGATCATCAATCGCTTGGTCGCGAGGATTTCAAACCTGTCGTGAGGGTGTCACCGCAGTTTGTCACACTGCGCAAACACAAATGTCAGCGAAAAAGACGGAGCAGCACGGCAGTGCAGCGTGTGATCTGGACACAAGCGATGGAGGCACAACTTGTAGAACTTTGGAAAGCTCATCCGAGCCTTTTCGATGTGGCCTCACAAAATTATCACGACCACAACAACCGTGAAAATAGTTGGATTTACATTGCTGCTCAATCACAGCTGCCTGATCAATGTTTTTCATTAGCAATTTAGCAAAGTTGATGGTGGTGGTGTGTCTGTGTGAGTGAAAGACAGAGAGAGCGAGCGACAGAATTTCTGTTATAACCTTCATTTTTATGGACGCACAGTGTGAGCAATCAGGTCGCATCAGAGCATCGGGCCGTATAATAATAATAATAATAATAATAATAATAATAATAATAATGGATTGGATTTATATAGCGCTTTTCAAGGCACCCAAAGCGCTTTACAATGCCACTATTCATTCACTCTCACATTCACACACTGGTGGAGGCAAGCTATAGTGTGAGACCCTACATCGTGACCTACGAACTTCTAACCCCTGCGAGTCAATCGTGCAGTTTGAGCAGGAGCTGAATAACGCGACTGAAAAAAATCGCACAGTGTAAGCCCAGCATAAGCCCAGCATTAAAGCAGCAATGTTTGTTTGCTCAGAGAAAGGGTAAGAATGGGAAAAGGAAAACACCTGGCTGGAAAAAGTTAATATGTGCAGTGAATATCAGCGCTATGTGGCCAGAAGTGTGATAATATAACTTATTTTGTGTAATAAACAACTGCAAGGATAGATGATTACAACAAATAGATGACTAATACATAAAAGTAATACATAGATGAATAATGATGATGAATTAAGGTGCGTAATCATGGCAACAAGCGGGTTTACAAACAGGAGCAGCTGATTAGCATTAGAAAAGCTGAAATAATACCTCAACTGAAGCCAACTGTACTAAATGCACTAAATGTGCACTGTTACAAGAATGTTTTTCTTTCTATTATTTTCTATTATTTTAAGTTAAGCGGGACAGAGTTCTTTTAAAGAAAGATTTACTTATATTCTCAAAAGTTAAGCATGACAGACTTCTGTTTAAGAAAGACACCTGTTTTACTGTGTTAATGTTGTCATTTTGAGCTAAAAATAAATGGCTAAATGATCATTTGTTTCACATGTGTTCATATCACAAAGAATAGAATATGCATCTACTTAAATCAACTTCAAGTCAAATGGTTAAAAAAAATAATTTCACACACAAAAAAAGAGCTAGAAAATTCACAACAGTGGGAAGGGTGAAGACAACTGGGTTGCCCGGCCCTGGCCACGAGGTGTCCCTTATTTATTTTTCAGGGAGTTGGCAACCCTATGTGTTAGCTTTGTCGAGCCGTATCAGAAATGTACCTTCAGTCACAAGCCTCTGGGGAAGACGGATTTGCTATTGACTGAAAACTGAGCTGTCACGGAAATAGTGTTTGACATGCAATGTACACTAGCTTACAAGCTAGCTGATGAGTAGCATTTTATTTAGCAGTGATACTAAGTAACCATTTCAGCAGCTACAATGATTAATGTTTAATTACAGCCAACTCTCCTGCTTAGCACCATTAGCAGCCACACTTTATGAGGATTTGTTTAATGGATTTTATTAGGATGAGCATCCACACAAAAAGACACAGCTGCTAAGAAAGGCCACATTTGCTGTATGTACACTGCCTGTCATTTTTTTTTTGTGTTGCTGTCAGTTAGTTTCATTCTTTGATTGGCAACTTGAAAAAGTTCTCCGATTACAAATACAAGAAACTGAGTCTACAATCAAAATAAGAATCTTGACACGTATGCCTCGACGTGCCGGATTGACAGACAGCAGTCAATGCAAACTGACAACTGGTGCTCGGCTGATCAAAAAGTGAAAACTCTGAATGGGTGTTGATTTTCTTCGTAACATGGAACACAGGTGGACTTTAAATATGTCTTTGTTCCCTGGCAAGAAAAACCTCAACTACAATTCAAGTGGCCTTTACTTGAAGCAACCACATCATAATTGCAAAGACAACCATGCAACTCACTGCCCAGAAACTGTACGTCTGCGAAAAGAGATCTGTCACTTTTTGGCTTTTTTTTTCTCTTTTTCAAAGTAACAGGAAGTGCCAAGAGACTTAGAGAAATGCTGCAGAGCAGATACTCAGAATCAGAGAGAGGAAGAAAATAAATCATCAGAAGAGTTTTAAAAAATCTTGACATTTCGGCATATGGCATGAGTGACAGAGCAAGTTCAAACTCAAAGAACACTTCTGAATGTTGCTGGCAATGACCAGCGTAGAGCAGTATAATAAATTGCATAAATTAACAATTAACTGAATAATGTTGTTGGAATTTTTTAATGTGACCATTACACCCTGCAGCAAAGATGCCCGCCTGGGCTTTTTCTTGCGTTGTTTCTGCCTAAAGACCTCCTGGAGGAACCTCCAGGGCTGAAAAATGAAGCAAACACAAGTTCCAAAGACTGCAATTCCTCAAGCAGGCACTTGGCGTTGCCTCCAAATGAATGGATGTGACTACTGCTTTCTTTATATTTTAGTTAAACCACAGACTGTATGTGTTTTTATCATGATAATACTAATTTTCATCTAAACAGACAAGGTGTTGCATTCCAAGACAAGTCTGATTTTAATTTGAGAGCATGAGAGCAAACCCTCATAGCACCCTATTACCCAAACAGAACACCCCACTCACAGACTGCAGGCTTACTTTTAGGTCCCAGGGTTTCTAAAAGTAGAAGCGGTAGACAGAGCTTTCAGCTATCAAGCTCCTCTCCTTTGGAGCTAGAACTCCCAGTTTGCATTCGGGAAAGATACACCTTCCCTACTTTTGAGCTTTTTTGACATAGCTTATAGCCAAAGTTAAATCAGGTGACCATGAACCTTTTTTTTCTTAATTATGCCGCTACCAGGCAGACTGCTGGAGGACTTCCCATGACAAACCAAGCATTGGTCACTCCCTTTTTTTTCTTTCCCTGTGTGTTTCTGTGCCACTATTGCCATTTTTGTACAGCGCTGTGTGACCGATTGTCTGTGAAAAGCGCTTAATAAATAAACCTTACTTACTTATTATGTTAAAAACGGTCTCCACTATCAATTAGGTTGCATTTTGTCCCCCCCAAAGGAAAACAAGTGGCAGCAGATGCCTGCCTCTCCCTGAGTCTGGCCTATTGGAAGTCTGTTCTTATCAAAAGGGAGTTCTTTCTCCCTCAAGTCGCCAAGTGCATGCTGTAAGGAATTGCCAGATCTTTTGTGATCTCACGCTATATTACCTCACAATATAAAGCACTGTAATATCACCTTTTTGGGGAACTATATAAATAAAAGTGAATTGAATTAAGTCTTTAAATCCTTTAAACTGAACCTGTAATACATGGATGCAATATGAATATGACACAGACAGAACTACGTTAGCAGTTACAGACATCTGGAATCTCTATCACAGATTGCAAACCTAACTCTCAGAAGGACTCTGGCAGTATTAGAAAAGTCATTCTCATGTCACAACATATCATACAGACATCAACATAATCATCTCTGGGAACATTCACATTTAATCATCACTTCTAACGCACGAGTAAATGAAAGCCATTCATCAGACCCACGCCTAAGTGTGACTCTTATTACCAGGCTCTTATTAACCATCTGTGTCTTGCAACATGGTGCAGCAAATTTAGCAAACCACAGGCTAAAGAAAAGAAGTCCTCCTCACCTTGGTCAGGGCTTGGTCGGTCTTCTCTGGGGCGCTGCGGTGCGCTTGAGTGACATCGCTGAGGGGCAGGGGCATGTATTGCAAGGTAAAGTTGCTGTTTGTTGCAGAGCGAAGGAAGACAAAGAGGGGCAGATAGAAAGACAACATTACCCTGGCAATAATAAACTGGAGAAACTGATGTTAACAAGAACAAACAGGAAATGCCCGGGGCACTTATAACAGCTGTCTGCAATTCCCTAATACGCAAATACACCCACACACCCTTGTACACACAGACAGAGATGCGCGGGTACAAACTTCACGCCCACACTTATTTGACTGGCACACACGTCAGGAGAATGATGAAACATTCTGTAATCGCTAACATCACGCAGAGATGGTTATCTGCCTTTCATATGGGTGTGTGAGTGATGCGTTTCATGTGTGTGTGCGTCCGCCCTCTTCAAAAGGATGTTGGTGTGCTGCGTTGCGTTCGTCTTACTGCTCCAACGCTCTCGCCACATCTTGGAAGCCTGTCGCCGTGGTGTTGTTGCGATCCCACGTCACACTCCTGAGAGGGATTAAAGCAGCGGGAAATGGGGTAAGACCAGCACCGAGAGGAGGGAAAAGGAGAAGAGGATCGGTTGCTTTCTAAAGTGCCTAATCCACATTAAAATCTCACACAGATACATCAAAGTGACAGTACTTCTTTGACCACGCAGGACAGACATAAATATTAAGATATTCGTCAGAGCTTTCTTTTAGCTAGGTGTATGGTATCCCAACATTAGAGATGCATGAACAACTGCCGTGCCGCTAATGAGCTTCTGTTATTTCGCAGAGCAGAATTTCCACCTACACCCGACACCGACGAGCTCCTGTTTTTAATACATCACTCATTTTCAGCTCATCTTTCCTTTCATCCATCCTCCTCCTCAATCCCCCCCATCCCCCCCGACTTGGTTTGCCCTAGAAATTCAATCAGCAAAAACCCAGATCTATCTCTTTAGGTGGTCTCCCTCTCCGATCTCTTCGTAACTTTCACATCCAACCTTTCCCAACACACACACAGTACTACTCCACCCCCACCCCACAACCCCAGTATTCAAGGAGGTTTCTGGCCTCCTTTGCCCTTTCTCAATATTTTATTGACTCCTGTTACAAAGTCAAACATACCTCCGAACATGAAGTGTTATTCGCTGTGTTGTTAAGGGTGGTGCTGTAAAAGCTATGTCTGAAAGGCCCCCTCCCACTAATTCATCTCTCCAGTTTGTAACATCCCTCAGGCTACTCAGTATTAGGTCCGGTCCTAATACCCCCCACCCTTCTTATCTCCTACATGCCACTCCACCCCCTCCCATCTTTGAAGCGCCACCTTCAACTCACTGTTCATAGAAACTTCACTGTATCCCCTTCCTAAACCTAACATATTAATTTTCTTTCTTTAATCTGCTGTCTATAGCATCTTCTCCAGACATGCCCCTCCTACGTATGAGGGTTTCTGATCTGCACTGAAATCCCCTCTTTTCTTCATCTTAATCGTCTATTACTGCTGTAACGCACACACCCACCTAAGTGTTGTGTTAATCTGCAGAGCTTTGCTGAGCATCTTGGCCCCAGAGTCCTCCAGGAGGTTGCCGCTCAGGTCCACCTTCCGTAAACAAGCGTTGGAGCCCAGGGCGTTGACGAGCACTGTGCCCCGCTGCCGAAGCCTCGAGTCAGCCAGCGAGAGGGACTGCAGGGCCTGGAGGATGCCAGGGGAGCAGGGAGTAACCAATACGGAAGCATATTTGAAAATCAGATTTTTTTTTTTTTTATAGAGGGCAATTATATGTGAGAAGCACCACCTATGTTTAAATGATAAAAGAAACATCCACCTAAAGCAAGAAGTTATTACTTCCAATTTCGTCCATACTCTAAAAGAAATCTGTGTATTTATCAGGTTCATTAATTATTACAATTTCTGTTGAAATTTAATTAGGAAAAAAATCAATAATGAAAGAACATGGTTGAAAATCAGATCAGATTTCATTTCAAACCCTCATTCATTATTAATTGTTGTTTTGCTGTTTTACTCGTTAGGACTTTGAAATGCACACTGAACTAATTTGATTGTTAACACTCCTTTAAATGATGTTGCTGATGTACAAATTGGACATATTTTCTGTTAAAAAAAGGTTTGAAAAGGGCTCTACTGAAGGTTTTTGCCTGTCTCTGCTTAAACGACTCTGTGAACACATTTTTGAATATTCCTTATGCACACAAAGATTTCCAGCCATGCACAGTCTCCTGTGGTTAACTCTCCTGGACCTGGCTAGGATTGTAAGAGCCATCTACAATATTTTGAAGAATACTCATTCGTTTTCTAGGAAAGAGTTAGATGTGAAGGTCGATGCTTTTCTCATGTCTCTATGGTAAACATAAACCTGGAACAAGCAGTTTTTTGGGGGGGTTAAAAAAGAATTCAATACAGGAGAAAATGGATTACATTTTTACAGCTTAAAACAAACAAGAATGAGGTTCCAGTTAGTTTTATACGTTTTTGTAGAACTTGTAATATTGCCTCTGCACACCAGCACAGTGGATTTTAGATCGAACAATCAAGATGAATATTTCCTTGCTTTGAGTTTGGTTTGCTTTTGCAGTGTGCTTTTGTGCCAGTATCGTACTTTTGCAGTACGAATTACTGTCCAAGTTTTGCAGCATTTGAGTTTTTTGAACAGAGAGTTTAGCCCTGTACATTTGAGAATTCACCTGTGACCCAGTTCCACTTTATGCCCATACCATAACACTGCCTCCACCATGTTTGACAGACAATATCGTATGCTACAAATCAAGTTTTTTTTGGTCCTTCTTCATATTTTTCTCTTGCAATCTTTTAAGTTCAGGTTGATCTTAATTTCATCTATGCAAATACTTTTTTCCAGTAGTGTGCAGGCGCTCTTAGATGGTTTCTGGCAGAGTCTAGTGGGGTCTTCGTGCTCTTGAGCGTAACCAGTGGTTTGCACTTTTTGTAAACCCTCTGCATCTCCATTCTTGATGGCAGACCTTGACAGTGACACTCCTACCTCTGTGGGACTGTTCCTGACTTGATGTTGGGCAATTGTCCAGTTAGGTTTGAGCAAAAATGGAGGACTGTGTATAAAAATTGCTGCAGTTCCAAAACAGTTTATGCTACACTTTTGTTAAACCCCTTGAATTAAAGCTGAAAATCTGCACTTCAATCACATGTTGACCGATTCCTTTAAAATCCACACTCCTGGTGTACAGACTATGAAACAAACTGTTTCCTTATCCCTACTGATAGCAGTCTTATGCATTCAGAATCATCTTCATTTCATTTAGTCTGTTGAGAGTTTTCTTTTTTCTCACGTTTGAGGCTAGAAGCCTTTTATGACTCATACTAGAGCGTTAACATTGTACTAACACTAATGCCAACAGTCTGCAGGGGACACTCACAGATTGTTTTGATGCTTGTGTTTTCAACACTTAATGTGTGAGCTGACTATGGCTGACCTCTGATAAAGTGCCTGTGTAATTCCTTTAAATGTGCACATTTACAACCGCCTGTGCCAGTGTTGGTGCGCTTTCATACAAGCATCAGTCCATGTTCGCTTCTGGAGCATCGTTGTGAACTATCACCATCAACAGAGGTAAATAATTGAGTAAGCTACTTGTCATGCTGAATTTGCGCAGCAGAGAGAGCCTCGGGAGCCCCGCGTACAAACTGAGACCAAATGAATCATTCGTCTGGCTCGTAGACAGCGTGGCTCGTGTACATGTTTATACCTTGCGCGTGTGGCAGGTGGGAGATGGAGCTTAAGACTGCACGAATGAGGATACAAGAATTAAACTGTGACAAGCGAGGTCCGCGTGGGCGTGCATCTGAGCATGACACCACAGAGAATTTGTGCACGCACAATATGTTACATAATCAAACTCACACACTCTTCTTCTTGCACCAAATGAACTAGTTTCTGCAGAATTTCATCCAGCACCCTGAGGAGGCAGAAACAAGAGGGAAAGCATTCATCATCTGCATCATCTCCACAAACCATCTGCACACAGCTGCTTCCCCCCCCGCGCAGTCCATACCTGCCCTTGATGTTGAAGTTCTTCCCCAGCATCAGGTGTTTGAGGGAGGGATGCCGGGAGAACGCTGGGATGACAGCCAGCAAGTCAGCATCCAAACCTACACACACACACACAAACAGAAGTCAACACACATCATTGGAGTACGAGCGCAACGCCAGCAGTGGTACGCTCAGTGGAGCTTATGTGAAAACTCATTCAAAGTAGACCTTTAATTACATCCTAGTACGTGCCAATAAAAAAGTAGAAACATGCCTGAAACTTCAAGTTATTCTGGACCATAAATAGGCAATCCATTAACTGGTATAAAGGACCGAACAAGTCGTATTTTATTACATAAAATTGAGTATTACTGGGCCGTTATACCAGTGACTCATGATTTGCTGAGCCAGGTGCTAACATTTCTGGCCCTCAAAGCTCCATTTTTCCCTCTCTCTCTCTCATAGTCCATTTTGGAACAAAATCTCACTGCCCACTGAAATTCCAAAATACTCCCAATTAAACAACCTCCTTCTCACACCCACTCACCTTTTCAAAAGCTCAAGGATAGAGGATGCTGCTAAATGGAAGCGGTTACCATGGCAAGATATTTCAGAGTAAAATGCCTCATTCAGGGATCAAAAATATCTGCGGGTTAAATAAACTCCAGCGCTCACCGTGAAGTGCATTCATTTTACGAAAGCTTGCTGTGACACATTCAAGGAGGGTGGGTGACGGAAGCTGCTTGCAGCTAATGTTTCAGGTATTATTAGCGTCTCTGTTATAATACTATAACTAGATTACTGGCTGTTTGGGAAACGAGCTGGTCAGCGGTCAGCAGGGTAGGTGGTAAAAACAGTCCAATATATATTTTTAGTTCTAGTTTTTACCCATTACAACATCACAGGATTCATTGGTTAAGTGTCAGATTTTTTACTGAAACTTCAAGGTGAAGAACAGTCCTGTAAAATTTGAAAATATATCAAACTAAATATGGACATGCATCATGAACAAAACTACACTTTGCAGTAGTTCTAGTCAACACAATCAATAGCAGATTTTTAGGCATCAAGTAGTTTATGGTATTTATTTAAAGACAATTTAATTGGACTGCATAAATAATGGTCTTTAAAAGAGATTTCGATAACTCCCACAAACAGGACTAAGATTAGGCAAGAATCAAAACATGCCTTTGTTGGTATGTTAACACAGTGATTCAAATTCACACATACATTTGCATCATCAGTGGTATGATGCAGCAGGTCTTTATTCACTATGCTCAGCTGGTAATCAGGTCTTGAATGTAAAGACAAAAATCTGGTGTCGCCATGAATGATTATATCATTGTTGAACTATGAAGAAATACATTAGTTCAGCCACTAAACTCACACAGATAAGGGGACTGGAATCAGCTTCTTTATTCATGCTTCAAAATATCATTCTCATTTTATCAGTCATGCTAGTAGACTAGTAAATTCTAATCGCATTCATGTGGGTGTGCACTGCCGTGTCTCTTTTATACATTTAACCTTTTCATATTTTCCCATAGTTTCATTTTTCTTTGTAAAAACAGCTACTTTGTTGCCAGAACACTTTTCCATCACTAGGATGGGTCAGAAGATGCCAACGCCAGCCTGTGAACATGCAGGGGTTTAGTTAGCGAGCCGATAACCAGCTCCGTGTGACCACTGATCGCCACAGGGAGGGTAAGTGAGTCCAGATAACAGTAAGACACCCTGGGTATGATGAACTCTCTTCATAGTGCAGGCCTCTGGTTGTTGTGTTTGTGGCATTTCAAGTACAAGTGCTGCCAACAGTGAAGCTGCAGATTCACCTCAAACTATCCGATGTCAACACTCACAGCTGAAGGGTGCTTCTCCCAGCTCTACTTACATTTTCATTTACTGGTTGTTATAAAATGCAGACAGATAGATCAGGAAATAACCAATATCAACCAACAGTACTGGCCCACCGATAAATCAGCCAGGCTCTAGGGACTGAGACTGGTTCACTAGTTTAGTTTAAAAGAAAGCCATTCAATTTAAAAGCTGATGGAGTCAAAACAATAATGGCGTAGTCTATACGATTTACAGCTACCCAACACACATACAACAACCCCTGTAAGTGCATCCCTTGTGGGTTCTTACCATTATCAGAGATATCTAAAGTCCCCACGCATGAAACTCGAGGAAACAGCTCCTGAATCACCCCGGCACCTGCTGACCTCAACTGTGGAAGGCAGACAGAGAGGAGCAGAGCATGATGGGATAGCCACAGGAGGTGATATATGAAGATGATGAGTGAATACACCCTGAGTACAGGCCGACAGAGCGTACCTCACAGCTGCTGATGTCCAGGTGTAAATCAGTGATATGAGGGTTATTGGACAAACCGAGGAACAGCGCCCTGAAGGAAAACAGAGGTAGGATGGGATGGGAAAGAGAGCGAGAGAGAGGAAATACAGATTAATCGTGAAGCAGATATAGAAAAAGGGGTACGAAAATGATAGTTAGATAAGAGGAAATGTTGAGAAACAGAGGTCAATTGAGGCACAAGGATGAGCAAAAACCACATTGGAAAAGAAAAATAAATAAAAATCAGTTCCACTTAAATCCAATCGCCTTTCTCCCTCTAACAACCCCCCCTCCTGCCCCACATTCTCCTCTGCACACCTAAAAGTTTAAGAACCATCTTAAAGGATTTAGAGAAAAGTAGCTTAAATATAAGATTCATAGCTCACTAAGTTGGCAACAGAAATTACCTCAAAAACCTTCAAGTTTTATTCAGAAGTGGCCGATTGTAGCGACTGTACATTTACACAAGCCCAGCTGGATGTGGGGGAAAAATACATTTGCACATCAAGGCTCCGCTGGAGGTTGTTCTTGTGCAATGAATACACATTTAAGAGTTATGCACCATGAGGAGGTAATGAGGAAAAGTGCTAAGTGGGGAGTCTGCTCCAACCATTTTGGCAGGGATCCATCACGCAGCGCGCAATCATCCCAATTGCTGGCATTTTGCTTTGTTTTCTCTGCTATTGATTGTGTTCAGCAGACTATACGCCTAGCAGAGAAACTGTAATATTGCAAAACTCCATTTATCCCCGTTGGGAAACTCCTTTTTTTTTGTTGCTTGGCTGCTTTGTGAGCTGGTTTAGCTACAGATCTCCTGAAGCTGGTGGGCATAGAGTCCTCCACAAAGACACGTCAGCACAGTGGAAGCTGGCCAACACGGGGGCTTCAGTCTGTGTCAACTGATTGAAGGCCAGTCAACTAACGGAACAGTGAACTGGCTCCACTGTCAAGGAAAAGCATTTGAAGCCTAATGTGCACCTTGATGATTAACTCTCACTGGTGGTTTGGATGCAAACCACACTCCATATGGCATAAGCTATTTTTGTACTGAAACAATGATGACCGAAAAATGGCAACCTTGTTTGCTGGGCGGTTTTTGCTTTAAATTAGGACAGGTTAGGGTACTATCCTCCTCCTATCAAGGTCTCTGCATGCATTAAAGTTAGAGTACAGGAATAGGAATGCAGAAATAATGCATTGGGTGGGGGGGGGTGGCTCTCCCATTTCTACGAGTCTCCTCTTGGATGGAAAACCGAAAAGCCTTCAGCGGTCTTCCTCCTTGAGTTCGGTTTATACAGTGTTTTGAAACTAAAGCAGCTTACAGCATCATGAGTGGATACATTTTTAGCTGGAGTGGCCCCAGTGGGAATTCATTCTTCAGCACTCGCAGTCAAAACTGCCAGTGACACCCTGAACAAGGTTAGGAGTTAAAAATAACAAGATGCGCGAGTTTGTCTTATAACCCACATATATCATCAACCTCCACTGAAGCTAAACAGAATATGAGTTCTGGCTATACCCGCAAAGTTTCCATTCATCACTATTCTCCCGCAAAAGTAAAAAATGTACCTGATCGCACAGCTGCTCGGCAGGTAGTCTGAGGGGGAAATGCTGCGTCCAATATCATAACGAAAGAAACGTGTCTCCCTCAAGTCCGCGTTTGCTCACTTAAGGCGTTTCATCCCGTAATTGGATTATTTTGCAGATTTCATTACTCCTACTGTGCATGAAATTTGTAGTAGAAATGCTGGGAGACATCATCCAAAAAATTATTAAAGTGAGGTTTTTTAAAGCAACAGATTCGCTTAATTCATAATTCCAAGCCTACTGTAATATTTCTATTTTCAAAAAGGACTTTAAACTTATCTTGTAGGAGTAAGTGGCTTCTCCAAATTTCAGTCATAAAGTATGTAGGAGGCACAGGAACACACTTTCTCCAGCGTCTCCTTAGCAGGTAATTTATAGCTTTTTTTCCTCTAATAATACTAGCATAATATTTCAGTAGCTGCTTGATGTCTATATTAGCGCATCCTGTTGGCATCTTGGCATTTATTACAGGATATTTTGCCAAGTCAGTATATGCATCACGTCTAGAGATTTCCCAAATGAAGTGGAAGAGAATCAGATGCCAGTTGGCTGTCACAAATGATGATATACAGGTCAAAGCTAAACATATAGTCAGCAGAATATTTATACTGTAGCCACATCAAGAAGACCCAGTGTATCAATACATAATTAGAATACAAAACTAACAGTAGTTAGGTCGGGACCACAAGAGTCTAAAGATGATTGATATTTCTATCTGCAGTAATTTATATTTGACAGTGTGGGGTCTTTTGTGGGATAGCAGCAGCAAACCTAGCACATTACAGAGCAGACACCAATGACAGCAAGTATGAGACTGATCAAGTTAGACACAGCATGAAAGGCAAAGCAGGAATGGTGGGTTGCCAAGCTGCTTGCACCTCCACAGCAACTGTGGGCAGGCTAGAGCATTTTGAGTAGCACAACCTATATGAGCTCTAACAGGATGGCAGCAGAGTTCGACTGACAGTCTTATGAGCTAAAGCAAAGCCCAACCCAATTTTGTTTAGAACTCCATTTAGGGTGTGCGCTAATTTCATAACAATACTCCTTTGTATGACTCCCTGAATGAAACTGTAATTAAACCTGAAGACTGATGACAAAAAAGTCAATTTCTTGTGACTGGTTTTGTCATAATGTCACATCATAAAGACAGATTCTAATTTGGCTTATCAGACATATGCACCCCTAATTATCATGGGTTGGTCCTGATGACAGCATACAATTACCAGTTTACTGCCAGACACTGAGCTTGAGCATATTCTTTGACCCTCTTTATATGTAGACTTAACATGCCAGTTAGTAATATATAGTGCTTTGGTACCTTTATGGCAACTGTGCCCAGCGCTGACTTTGATCTATGTGTCATAAGAGAAAAGAGACCTCTCTCTTCACAGGTCACTTCTTCTGTCAGAACTATGAGCATCTTCACAGAGCAGCTTTTGAAAGGTTGTTTTGATGCATTTTTCTGACTGACTTGTTTATTTGGCATTTTTCTCCTTTATCTATATCTGGATACAGGTTTGTGACTCTTGGGGATTATATCTTGTTTTTTCCACCATCAAATAAACTTTAGTCTTTTGTGTCATATGGAAATACAATGTAATGAGCCAAGGTCCAGTAACACATAACAATACATACAAAAGATCCTGAAGTACTGTGCAAAAGCAACAGGGTTTTTTTCCTCCCGCCGGACGTTGCTTGATTTTAAGTCATTTTCAATCCTCGCCATTCACAGAGGAATGGGTTTTATTTTTGGGTTTTTTTTTTTATTTCTTAAGCAACTTAACGCTGACGTATGAATCATGATCAGAAACTGTGTCAGTGGAAGGGTGGCTGTCAAGAAGCCAAGGAAAGGAAATGAGGAGAAAAGGCTGAGGTATCCCAAATTGCACAAGACCTGGACTGAAAATCACTGGCAACCAGTCTTATAAAGTCATTAACGCAAATATGGTTCAAATCCTTGTCAATATATGGAGGGGTTCAGGTGAAGGTTACAACAGTGGATGTCTACAGCCGTCTGTAAAACACAGTGGAGGCTCTGTCACAGTTTTGCACTGCATTTTGGCCAGTGGTGTCAGCGACCTTGTTAAAATTTACTGAATAACAAACACAAAAAAGTACCATCAGATTTTGATACACCATGCAGCAACATCTGGAACATGTCTGACTGGCGACAGCTTCAGTTTTCAGCATGACAATGATCCTAAACAGCCAACGCAGTAAAAACATACATGGATAGAAAAACACCATCAGTCTTGGATTGGCCTCCAAAGAGTCTGGACCTCAACATTATTGAAGCAGTGTGGGATCATCTTGACAGAGATGAGAACAAAAGGCAGCCAACATCCAAAGAAGAGTATTGAATGTCCTTCAAGAAGCCTGGAGACTGTTTAAAGCAACTGAGTTAAGGAATAAAGGTGGTTATACCAAATATTGACTTTCAGGCTTGTTAGAATTGTACAAACTGTTTTTGCCTTATATACTTATGTCCATGTACGCCTCCACATGTTTAAATTAAATTGTTGTACTTCTTTCCCATTTTCCTCATATACATAAATGATGGGTGGCTCAAGACTTTTGCACAGCACTTCCAATTTCCAGTTTGATTTTCCCTGAAAATCCATGCGTTTCACAGCGACTCACCTCATCGAATCAGGGGGGACCTTCATAGAGGCCAGGCTGACATGTGTGAGGCTGAATGCTGAGCTGAAGAACTGACGGAAAGTTGGCAGAGAATCTCTGGCTTTTCTGGAAAAAGGACAGTACAGAAAAAACAGGAAGATTTTAAAACAGAGGGGGAGAGGAGCACCGAGGAGAGCATTTAAGTTAAATCTTAATCAGGCAGACCGAAAAATAGGATGACACTGATCTATAACAAGAGCGAGGATGACAGGAGGACTTGATACGCTCATAAAGAGTGACAGAGAATTTGCAGTAGACAAGCAGAGCAATGACAGGGGGGGAACAAGGGAGGGAAGAGAGCCAGAAGAAGGCTGAAGCAAAAAAGATGCTCGCTGCGACATTTGGGTCAGTATTATATCAACCCGACAGCATGAAAAGGTGAAGTCGGCATTAATTACTGCCATCACTTAAAAGGTAACATGGACCTATTATCTAACCATCTGCCTGACATATACAGCACATTAGCCCGTCATCATAGGAAGCATAGAGAATAAGTCTCCATGTATGAACAACATTCCTCTGAGTCAGAGCAGGCACTGTACTCGGCATTCATGGAATGAATATAGTGTACTGTTTCCGATCTGTTTAGCACTTGTCAAAGCTGTCAATCTGCCGTTCCAGCCCCCGCGCTGTACACATAATTCACCACAGGGGAGGATGAGGAAGGGAGGCTAGAGGAGGAACGATAAAGTCATGAGTGGCGAGGAGGAGGAGGAGGAGAGAGTGAGGGGAAGGATGAATTCATCTTGCAGAAAGATGAAGTTTGTTTTTCTTGGAAAGATTACCTGCTATTGCTTTTCAGGCAGCTGATATGTTGTTTACTTGTGCAGCACAAAACTCTTTTTTTTAGCTTCTACCTGATAAATGAGTATTGCTGTCACTGATGAGGCACTTTGAAAGCAAACTCATGAGAAGTAAAATTTACCTCATAGTTCACTAGTCAAAAAAAACCCCCCTATATATAGAGAGATAGACAATCTTTTATACTTGACATGAAAAGCACAGCTGCGGCTGATTTCATTAACAATTCTATGAAAGCAGCCACCAGGGATTTGAACTATATTCAGTCCCTCCCACCTGAAACCCAGTGTATTTTATGAAGCACATAGGCACAGGCATGCATGTTGCATTTTGAAATGCTGAGGGTGAAGAACATTTTTTTTAACCAAAATCAATGTCATACCCACTCCCAGTACCACAGTTTAAAACCAAAGTTTTATCTCAGCATGATTTTTTTTTCTTTGACCAGCTTTGAACATCGATATGTCCTTGTCCACTAGAATAGGCCCTGAGCAACAGATCCACAGTTAGAAGTGCTCAGCCGTCTCTACAGACTGTGTAGAAATGCCATGGAGACTATCCAACACATAGTAGCAGGATGTAAGATTCAAGCTGGAAACGCATACATTTGGAAGCACAACCTAGTGACTGTGATAGGCTACAGGAACATCTGCGCCGCATATGGACTAGAAGTCCCCAAGTCCCGATGTGAAATCCCACCAAAGGTGGTTGAGAACAACAGGGCTGAGGTCCTGTGGGAGTTCCAGTTCCATACAGACAAGCAGCCAACCAACCAGACATAGAGGTGGTTGACACGAAAGATTAGAAAAAAGTTGTGACAGATGTGGCAATCCCAGCAGATAGCAACATCAGGAAGAAGAAGCATGAGAAAATAGAGTACTAGGAGTACAAGGAGCTAAAGAAACAACTGGAGCAGATTTGAAAAGTAAAATCCAAACAGGTCCCACTGGTAACAAGAGCAGTATGAACTATAACATCAGAGATCTCCATCCAGAAGAGCATAGTCCTAATTAGCAGAACCCCCAAACTCCAAGGACTCTGTTAGAGCACCCCAGCTTGAGAAGAACAGACAAACTACCACCCAGGGGTGATGGTGGAGTTATATATACCATATGTTCAGAGTCCCTGATCTATCTTGACTGCACAATTGATGATTCACCAAATTATTGTTGGTTTAATATGACAGCAAACTACAATAAAAGGCTTATTCCTTACTTTAACAGTTTAATCATACATATCATAATCATTTAAGGTTCGTCTTTTCCAATGATGCTTTAGCACCTTATTGTAATGGCTTCCTTAAGCTTGATCAACACTTTGACTCAGTTATCTGAATTAAGCCATTTCAGAAACACAGTCACACTTTCAAACAAGTCCTTCAAACTTCATCAACACTTTGTCAACCTTACTTTCCAACATCCAGAAACACACAAATTACTTTTAGTGTTTCCTCTTCCACTGACACTTCAGCTTGAAAATATGTCAGGCCTAGGCAGCTGCTACGTCAGTCTCAGAGAGCAGGGTGTTAAAAGATTCATGTTAAAAAAAATTGTCTGGATAGCTGGGGAAGGAAGCGTTTTGTGGAAGTCCCCTCAAAGCATCTCCAACAGCAAGTGCAAACTTAGCCACGGTTATGAAAACTGCACAAACACGCCAGAACTAAAGAGAGACATCACCTGTCTTTAGAAATACACCCTGTAATGCTGCACCAGCACCCCAAAATAGCCTAAAAGGGAAAGCTGCTCTGCACTCTCCTCTCCTCTGATTGCTGAGACAATTTTGTCATGTGTTTGGCACAGCTGCTTCACAGATATGAGCGCAGTAATTTGACTGGCTGGGAATATAATGAATAATCACTACACCCTTCCAATTTCTGTTCCACTTCAACAAATTCCTGTGTGCATATTGCAGCGTGAGCCCGAGCCCTTATTGTCCTTGTGCACACGACCCAGTGCTTCACACTGACTGTTATGACTGTCTATTAGAATATAATTTAGTAACTTGCCACGCTGGCCTTGAGAAATTTGACCGGGACACATTTAACTTTTAACGGGCTCTCATTTTAAAAGTGGCGTACGCACACGGGCGGAAGTAAACGTGCCGAACTGTGGCGTCTGAATTCCCATTAGGCAAATGCATGGTTGACAGAGTACAGTAACCTGTTTTAGAACATTCGCCCCATGCAGACAAAACCATGTTAGCTTGGCTATAAGATTAAACTGCATGGCGAGAGAGGAAATGAGAAAGGGAAAATGTGAGATAAAGAGGGGGAAAAAGTGGGAGAAAATGAAGTTGTGAGGGATTAAAAAAAAGAGGAAAAGGTCACAAGGAAAAAGAAAAAAGAAAAAAGAAGATAAAGACATTGAGGAAGACAGTAGTGAGAGAAACCCCGGCAGCTGCACTACAATCACAAGTCGCTCCTTTTCAGATAACCTCCCAGTGTGTGTAACAGCAGCTCTCCTTTGACCCATTTGTAACGATTAGCATATAGCCCGTCAAAGCTGCACGGATACAGAATGGCTTCTGTCACATAAGCAGATACGGTGTCACTGTCTCTCTCATGAAACACTCTCCAGAGAGCTCTATCAGCAACTTGTAACCGTGCCTGCACGTCTGTGTGGCAGCATCTTCCTAGACTCCTCATTGTTAGTCAAAAGTGACCACATCTGTATGTGTGCAAAGGGTAAAGGAGTGGTCTGAGGCATCCCGCTCCATATTCATGAGCAGCAGTCAGGTGGTCGGTTCTTATCAAGTCGGTTCAGTTTCGTGCCTTCGTGTCGTTACGGCAACACAGCAGCCATCCGACCGGCAGCACCGAGCCAGCGTGCATTTAATACCACAAGAGCAGCAGGAGGACTGCAACTAGGAACTACAAACACAGGAAGAATGTGATGAGAAAGAGCAAAGGTAAAGATGATAAAATGTGTAGAAGGAGGTAGAGCGATAAGGATACAGGGAAGGAAGAGTGGGGCGTATAAGTTGAGAATGATGAGGAAGGAAAGGAGAGAGGTATAAATGAGGGAAGAAGAGTTATGAAAAAGGGAACGATAAAAAGCAGAAAGAAAAGACTGATGGAGAATAGATGCCATAAGTAAAAGGAAGGGGAGAAATAGAGGTGCTGCTAGACAGGTGCAAAAAAAAAAGATGGATAGAGAGATAGAGTAGATAAAAGTAGACACGGATAGGGGAAAAGAAGGAGGCATGGTAGCCTGGGGATTGGAACAATAATTCCCGTCTAAAATTAGTCTCATTTTTCACCAACTTCTTTCTCTGTAATTCTGTAATGTAATATGCTGAGCAGGGAAGCTCCCAGGCTCCTGTGGGACATGACATGATGAGAGCCGGAACGGCTTCTGCCTGCTAGTGAAGATAACAAACACACACAGGGTTCAACCGCACACAACACGCACGCCAACAACAACAACAACAACCCAAGCACTGTTGGGCATGCATACAAGTGCTTGACAGACAGAAAACCTGTTAGCAAACAGAGACATGTGTACATTAAAGGAAGCTGGAAACATTTGGCACACACAGATGCAGCGAGGCAGAATAAATGAGGGATGCGATGTGAGCTTGTATGCTAATTCTATCAGCGAGGTCCAGGGCTAAACGCTAATCTACGGGAAATAAATGATGATGCTCGCTCTCCTCTGTGCCTCCTGACTGGAAAATTTCCAGAGCTGTTTGGCTGAGTCATATTAAGCAAACTGATATATATATTTATATATTTATATTCAAATAAAAATAGCCTAAACTGGGATTTACACTTGAGGTGAATGCCCACCTGTGAGAGAAGGAGTTCTTGGAGAGATTCAGGTAGGAGAGGTCAGCGCAGCAGCCTCGCAGCAAGGCCCCAAACAACTGGCAGAGAAACAGAGAGATAAATGGGAGGTGTCATGTTCACTATGGTGAACACGATTGTGTTGTATAACAGTTATTTTGGCTCTTGAGTATTGAAAAAACAGTTATAGCACAAATTAAAGCTGACACAAAAGCAATGTGAAGACTCTTGAGTAAATATATAGTTTGAAGTATAAAGACAGCCTTGCTTGAAATTGAAAAATAGAATTTAGCAGAAGCTCTGCATGTTGTAAAAAAGGACAAGTACAACGAGATACGACAGGCGGTCAAATCAGGACAAAAAGCAGTCTCGTTTCGGGATTTATTTGATCCTTTCTGTGCCATATGGCTTGACTTTCCACAGAATAATGCAGTGTTTGTCATTAACTTTCTACAACTGCAAACAGGCGCATTTAGCATCTGCTGCATGTGATTTTCCAAGAAATATGACATCGTCAGAAATCAGTGCTGGGAATTCTCCTCTACAGGGTGAAAACTAAACAAAGTGAAACTCTGAGGCTGAGAGGAGTACATGATAAAAGATGCTCACAGTCCTGCGTCATTCATTCATTCCACTTAGCATTGGACAATACTTACTCTAAATCCCTGCATCTGAGTATAAAAGGTAGTTACTTGAGCTTTTGTACTTGTCTTTTCAATACATTTGAAATACATTACATAAATATTCTACATAAAACATGGTGAGCTTATAAAAAATGGTTCAATTGTTAACAGTTCCACTGCATAGTCATTTTCCCCATATCAACATCTGGTTTCACTTAAAGTCAATTCTATATTTTTACTCCAGTGCACAAAACCTTTTACTAAACTTCTCATTCTGACTGTCAACAAGCACACTAATGTTTGGGCCTTGTGACCTTAAATAGAACAACCATATATTTTTCATGACAAATTCTGCATGATTCACAGTTTATCTAGTGCAACCCCTCACTGCATTTAGAGTCTAAAAACAAGGTGTTTTGTGATTCAATCTCTGTTTGCATCCACAGGACAAAAACAAAGAAAAGCATATAAACTGTAATCCTGTGACAGGCTTTTGTTTTCTTTCCTACTTTGGTAAATCTATTTTGTATTTTGCTCAAAACACTGAGTATTCACTAAGAGTAGTTTATTGGTATATAAACATCAGTCCAAATACCATTCACTGTGACGATGCCCATCTCCCTGAACCAGTGGACTAATTACTAAACTAGGGCTGCTCGATTATGGCAAAAATGATAATCACGATTATTTTCACTGAAATTGAGATCACGATTATTTGACGATATTTATTTAACCCTTTAAGACCTACTATAGAACCAAGTCCACCAGAGCTTATATTATTTTTTTTACATGCTGTAGTGCCATTTGTGGGAGCATTTCAAGTTGCTATACATCAATACAACTGTTATAGCCCATATTTTAATAATATGTATGCATTAAGTACATAGTAATTACATAAATTGCAAAAAAGTGCAATAAACTACAAAAAAAATTGAAAATCGCTTTTGTTTTGTTTATATATATTTCTACTTGGAGAAATTTAAGAGGTTTATCCCTCAAAACTTTAAATACAATAAAGTTGCAAAAAATAGTTTCCCACCACAGGAAATTTATTTTGAGTGTCTTCATAGTTTTATTTTGGAGATACAGCAATTTTTATATACTGCAGGAAAAACAAACAATCCTATGATGCAAATTTGCAAAGAAAACAGCATGTGCATCATTTCACTGTGGGAAGTGTTACGAACAGCTGATAGGAACGGCAAAGCGTGTTTCTGGAATATTATGTTTTTGTTCCTGCAAGCGCTTTTTATGCAATTTTTGCAAAGCTATATGTGGAACGAAACCGTGACCGAGGACAAGCTGATGGCATCAGATGTAAGTACAACTCCTCCGGTTTCATATGCAAAACAAATTATTGCGCTAGCTTACACGGTTCAGGTTATACAGGGATTTAACAATAGTTACGCAAAACGGAGCATGCAGCTCTGACCGGCTTTAAAGGGTTAACAATGACTTTAAAAAAATAATATAAAATAGTGTGCAACACTACTGAAGTTTTTTTTTTTTACCTCTCTTTTCAACCGACAGCAGTCACTCTCCAAATAATTTCTGCTTAGCTTTCCGAGCTTCCCTCGGGTCCTCTTAATCAGTGGTCTCCAACCTTTTTTGCGCCACGGACCGGTTTATGCCCGACAATATTTTCACGGACCGGCCTTTAAGGTGTCGCGGATAAATGAGGGAGGGGCTAATAATTGGCTCAGTCATTTTTAATGATCGTTGAAAGCCCAGATCGTAATCGTGATTAAAATTCGATTAATTGAGCAGCCCTATACTAAACTATATTTAAAGTTTTATAAAGGGTAAATTGCTACTTCCACACAGATGCAACACTATTAGCAATCTAATCATGTCAAATAATAGTCACCAAGGCCACTATCTGAAAGAATAAGTAAGATTTAGTTTTTTAAGAATTCCACTTGTGAAGGAGAGTTGTACTCTGTTAAATTTGGTATTTGTTGAATTCATCTCTTTGGAGTTTAAATGCTAAGTAACATTGTTCCTGTACTCAGAATTGAAACTATCCTTGTATAAACTAGGCCTATAGAAATAACGAGGTTTCTCAGTACGGCATTCAGCCAGGAAAAGAACTTTAGCTGAACTTTAGTTAAAACACTGAATTAATTTTATTGTCTGTGAAAGACTGACAGAGAACATTTTCTCTCTACCTTAAAGAAATGTTTGAATGAAGGTTTGAATCATTAATATTTGTTTCAGAATATTTGGAAGCTGCTGCACGTCACCACTTACTCAAATCTGCACCCTAAATGAGCGACAATAATGTAGACTGAAAAATAAAAGTGATATTTTTATACAAAACGGAGTCTTGTTTGGCTACTTTTCCCGTGTATATTTAAGGGTTAACGGCCCCGAGTTCCAGCAGTCAAATGAAAAACAGCCAGTAGTGTTTCTGCCAATCTTTGAAAGAGTGTACGGAAAGTGCTCATCTGTCAGAGAAGTCTACTAATTCCCGATAGCAGGACCAAATGGGCAATAAGAAGTGTAATTGTATTGTGCTGAATCAAAGTCAAGCTGAGCCCATACCAGGAAAAACGAATTACTATTCTTCAATTTGTTGCACTGGATATCTATCAAATGTTTAATGCCTCAAAAAAAAAAGAAGCTGTACAGGATTCGTGCAGGAAACCAAGTATGCTGTGTCGCACGCAGTTCTCTGCCTATATGATCCATGCTGCATTATGCTGCACAGCGCCATGTATCATTCATCAGAGGCCATTATCAATCAAGCCATGCCTTGTGATGATATGGCTGACTTTCAAAATAAAGAGCTTTAGAGAGTACTAAAGTGAATGTGCAGGGACCTGTGATCCGCCCAATGTTAAAATAAAGATGATAAATATGTGTTTGTTAGGCAGGAGGACGCAAATTTGATTGGCATTAAACCAAACCCAGATTCCCTGGAATACTTTAAGCAGCATCCCATCACTTGTGAGAGGTTAAACTATCGGACAAATCCATTTTTTCGCTGGCAGTGTGATCCATCACGCAAATTGATTAATCGACCGTTGTCTGTGTGTCAAGCGTAGATTAAAAACAGAAACGTATTAATAATTCAATCCAACAAGCTAACACTAAAAAAGACTAATTTTCCCCGAGATAGCTCCTCTCTAAAGGATAAATGACAATTAGCAAAAAAAAAAAAGGACATTAAAGCAGGTCTCACAGAGAACTCTTTCTGTCACCCTCTGAAGGTGAGCAAGTTCAACTTGGAAATAAAGCAGAAGAGAAGCAATGACTTCCATCCATGCACATAATTCAATATAAAATTCATTGCCCACATTAACAGGACGGGTGGGCTAGTCCTCTGCGAAACAGATTCCTGGCTGACAAGCTCGCTGCTTTTAGGTGTTAAAATTGCTCAAGTGAAGAGCGGCGAGGGAGGAAAGTAAACGTATCACAGCGGCAAGAAAAGTCCAGAAACTGTTTGCCTTTTTCTTTTTTTCCCCATTTCCCCCCAAAAAACATAATAATAAGTACAAATCAAGAGGAAATTATATTTTTGAGAAACCCAAGGTTAGCCAGTGTCTGTGCTCTGATTTAGTTCCACACTAAAACTTGTTTAAACAATTGTAAAGAACTAACATAATTATTCTGTATTGTGATAAATATTTAGTGTCAAAAAGCTTTAGATAAAGAGAATTTATCTATAGCTAGAATCTACATCTGTGATATTTCTTTCTCTTTCTTCTTTCAAAGGTTAAATATGTACTTCCTTTAAGTTGAGTTTTTTATTTTGTCATTTTTAAATCAGAGGTAGATGTTCTCTAAACTGTAGCTTTAGTTTTTCATTTGATTTCTTCTTCTTTCTTTTTTTAATTTAATTTATTGTGATACAAATGAACTGGAGAAAGAAAAAGTACAATTTTTTTGCATTTCTTCAAGAAGCAGAAGTATTGCACAGAATGACCCATTATATTAATATATCTACACATTACATCATTTTTATAAAGTACAGTTTGGTCTGCCATTACTAGCAGACTTTCAAAGTATTTACATCCTGTTGTTTTCAGCACTAACTCTATACTTTCACCTTCCCACGAAAGCTTAAGAATGTATTTTTTTAATGTAAAACTGCAGCACCTGTCATGTGGTGTTCGTAAACAGTAACCATTGGTTATTCTTTTATTTGTCATTCTACTCAAAAAAATGTGTCTGTTTCTTTAAACAACACAAAGTAAGAAAGGTTCCTACACTAAGCTTGACTTACAGTACTACATAAAGTCTAAGGTGCAGCTGTACATTGTAACCTACACCTTAGAATTCATGCTACTGCACCAGCTGTGATGGATCTGCTTGGTAGCAAAACCATGTAAATGCAGTATATTATATATTATAATAGTTTAGGATATATTAGCACGAGATTAATGCCTCAGTGAAACAAAATGTCAAATGCCGTAACTGTAACTAGCTGGCATGCAATGCTAATGCAAAAGCCAGTGCTTTGCTAACATAGACCTGTTTACTTTCACTGAAGCCTTCAAAACGGCAGGAGTCTACACACAGCGTGCAAAACAGCATGCTGTTCAATATTTATCTACTCCAAGTCCAAAACAATCCGCTGGGTTTCACTCGTGATGGTTAGCAGTGCAGAAACACATTTAAATGCAGCTTTAAATGCAACTCCACCTGCCGTGGTAAAGCTCTACGGGATTCAGCCCAGATCAAATCAAGTTATGAAAATATTTCAAAACATTTAAATCAAAAAAAAATTTAAATATATTTTTTTCACTGAACAGCAGGTTGATCATAATTTTTATATGAAAAACAATCTCCAAACTATGCTAAACTAAACTGAGTTTAAGATGAAGTAGTTTGGTAATAAGGATAAAATTCTGTTGCCTGTTATGGTGGATACAAGTATAAAGTAGCTGAAAGTTCTGGTGTACTGTATTTGTAGTAGTCAGTACAGAAAATGGAGCATTTACTGTAGATCTTGTCCTTCTGAACCGCTGAACAATGGCAGTGCTTAGATCTTAGATCTGTAGCCGACTCTGACCTTTAACCTCACTGCCGTGGTGGAAACGATAAAAAAAGAATATTTATGTCTGTTCTACCCAACCTTGCCTGTCCCTATGGCGTTCTGTGGCATCAGCAGCAACACAGCACTGACAAAGCAGCAATGACTGAGAATGAACAATAAAATGTGACCTTTTCACAAACCCCTACATCTTCTAAGGAGACACAGACGTTAAAAACGTGAGTACAGTTGTAACTTTCAGCATTTTTAACCACACAGTATCGCATATTTGCAGCAAACCAACTGCCATCGCAGCAGTAATCTGCAGGGACAGACATGTTCAAGTGTGGCCAATGAACTCTCTCCCTGAGAGAAAGCTCCGTCATCCTTTCCACTGTTAGCATATCTGCTACCACAGCAAGATGCCATTTGTCACACTGGCTCACAGACATGCTAAATTTAGACATACTCACAACAACAAAGATGCGAACAAAAGCTTGCAACAAATGCTTCGTGTGCTTTCCGTAAAAGACATAATTTGTATAAATCACAAAGGTTATACGTCTTCATTATTGGCCCTTCTAAGAGCTCCCACTTTCACCTAAAGCATTATGCAGAGAGAATCTCTATGAGATATGGAATAAAGTGAGGTTTTGTGTGGTAGGCGTTTCATATTCAGACCGCTAGGCCTTTCGGTTTCTTGGCTTGAATCCCATTCTAGTGATGAGATCAGATAGTGATGGGTGGATATCGACTGTAACAAAGACAGCGAGTACAAACCGAGTCCACAGTGCAGTCTGTCCCAGACAGGTCCAAGTGGACCAGGCAGTTAGGCTGGGCCAGGAAGAGGTACAGGTTCTGCATGGGAAGAAGGAGAGAGACTTTAAGATAGTGTTAATATTTCTGAGTTAAGGATGTACACAAGTAAACATCTGCACAGTCAAGGGCAGTGGTCATTGGATTAATTGATACACTCTCACATGGGAATTAGTTAACATCATTAGAACCCAGTCAATGTAGGATTTTTAAGACCAAGACCAATGCTGATGTTTAGTGATTTAAGTCTGATATTCTGATATCCTTTTCTTTTTAGATTTTCATTTATCAACTGTTATAAATGCCAGTACAAACAGCTGCTGATATATTGATAAATCAGTCCTGTTCTGAACAGTATCCTGCATTTTGACACCGATCTCTCATCCCAATCGATCGCGGCAGATAGCCGACCCTCCCTGAGCCTGGCTCTGTCTGAGGTTTCTTCCTGTTAAAAGGGAGTTTTTCCTTTCCGCTGTCGCCAAAGTGCTTGCCTCATAGGGGGATATACGATTGTTGTTTTTTTCTCTGTATGTATTATTGTAGGAGCTACCTTACAATATAAAGCGCCTTGTGATTTGGCACTGTATAAATAAAGCTGAATTGAACTGATTGGATATAGAGAAAATGACTGATTTTCACTAGATCACAATGTCAAAATTAATCAGTAAAGTGATCTAAACTTGAGTATAAACCTATATTACATATTATATTATAGACATAAAATGTCTTAATTATATATAAGCATGTTTCACTTGTTTATGTGTATTAGTATAAATACTACTATTAATATTTGTAAAATCTGAGATTTGCATCTGCAATACCTGGAAAAACCCTCTAAGCAACTCAGCTAAACTGTGACCTAAACACACAAGTCAGGGTATGGATTTAAAAAAAGAAAAGACTGACTAAGCAGCTAAGGCAACAACGAAGGAGTGCTGAGCTTCAGAGGCTCAGCCTGAAAGCCTGAAGAGATTGTGGAGGCAGTAGCAACTTGCTAGGCGCTTCATCTTCCACAGTTTTATGGGGAAGTGGAAAAGAAAATGATCATTCTTTAAAAAGCGCAGGCATCTCAGCTACAGTTTGCCAGGAGGCACATGGGAGACTCTGAAGTAGGCTGGAAGAAGCCCCTGTGGTCTGATAAGAGACCATAAGGCCTTCAGAATCTGCAGCTGGGCTGAAAAATGTTTTTTCACTGCGCAAACTGACTGAACCTGGTCAACTCCGTCAAAGAAAGTCAGAATCAATATTTATGTACACATGTTTTTTTTTTTTACATTTCCATCCTAAGGTGGCATAACAGCAGCACTAAAAAAATGATGATTTTCCAGTTTATCAGAATTAAGATATTGTAAACAGTGTAAGTAACAGAGGCCTGAGAATTTTCCATGCAATGATACATTGACTCTTTCCTGATGGGCAAGTGTAAAAAATCTTTATTATAATATTACAAGATTCCTCCCCCCCCCTCCTCCACTCAAGATTTATTACAGTAAGCGTGCATTAATATATTTGAATGGGAACACACAATGCAACAATTTTTGTGCCTTACTGTAGCGTCCTCTCCAGATAAGACCCCAGGGTTCTTGCTAAGGTCCAGATGCAGCAGAGAATTGGAATAGTCGTCAGCTGAGCACAGTGCCTGGGACAATGAAACCACACCTGGGGGGGGGGGTGTTGATAAAGGATTAAAAGAGAAGGGATACAGTAGTTTAATTTAGTCACTTATAATCTTTTTTTTTCAGGGGGCCAATTTAATGCTCTGGACATGACATATCATCAACTGAGGAATAAAAAAGCTGAAGAGGTGAAGAAAAACAAAACAATCTGTGGCAAAAAAATAAAAACTAATTGAGCAGAGACTTGTCAGTGCATGGCAGGCTTGTACGAAAAGAGCTTTCAGAGGAAGCCAGCCACCTTTTACCCACTATCCCAGTTTCCAAGTGCGCCCTGAAAGCCAAACAAAAGTATGTATAAATCAGATCACTACACAATTACAGCCACAGGCCTGATGGAAGCCCTCATTAAAATCCTCATTCTGCAGCACACAGCACCCCATGTCAGGTTACAGCTTAAATACAGACACAGCAACAGCACTGGTGAAACATCTATGAGAGCCAAACAAATGCAAAGCCTACAACTACCATTTCTCTGTGCTGTATTGAATCTAAAATATATCACTGATAACAACCAACAGGAAGTGTTTTTAGCACTAGAGAAGAGGGTGGAACAAGACAGCCATTGCATGTGCCTATCTGAAGCTGGCAAGGCAGTAAGCTGTTCATCCCTAATTTGTAGCGATTAGGAGGGAAATGAGGGGAAGAGGGGGCAGAGTGTCTAATCCACCCCACACTCTGCCTCAATCCATCTATCAGCTGCTTGATTCTGCTGCAAGCACAGACTTTTAGAGGCCAACTAGTCTGTGTGACATTGTCAAGTGTCTATAGAAGTAATGGTGTGAGAGTTCCTGGGATGCATCAGCTTATTTGCATGTCTGATTAACATCTGAGAGGTGACGTAAGCATGTGTTTATAGCATAAGTGTGCATACGGGCTTTGCTTGGCATAGGTGTTTTAGAGACAGAAGGAAGGAGGGGGAGCGAGAGAGATCTATAAATATTCAACAAAAAGTGCTCAGCCCCTGCAAAGTCAAACCCACCTACCAACACCCAACATTCAAGGTCAGCATGATCGTTTCATTCTCCCAAATCACTGTTTCAACCCAGTGGCTTTTAAAACGGCACCTAGTGTGGTCTTCCCATTCATAACATACAAAAGCAGTCAAGGTCACTGTCTGTAGCATGAAGTTTGCATTTAGCTATACCGTTAAATTAGGGATCTCCTTGCCTATTCTGCATTGAAAATGAGCAGAGCAGTAAATGCACAAGCAGAAGATTTGAGAGGGGGGAGAACTTGCAAGCTAAAGAACAGAAAATATATTTATATGAGTATACATGTATTGTCAAGCAAGTACAGTGACTACAATAAACATATTAATCATTTAGCACATTTAAAAATAAGACTTACAGGCAAAACCAAGATAACAAGTCTCATTAATCGATCTCAAATGACTGTTACATCCCAACTATGCTAGTTAGCTAGTTAGCTTTAGCCAGAGTTTGATTTCCTTGCTTTCCTGGCATTTCACTACTTGATAACAAATTGAATCTTGGATCAACAAGATAGATCTTTTTCATTGAAATGGGTCGGGTTAGTTTAATCCCTCAGGAAAGCTGTAGCTGTATCTCACCAGCTAGCTTTAACCCTGACGTCACATTAGCTTGTAAAGATTAGCCTGTTTGGCCATTAGCTTTTTTTGTAGTACTTTTGGTTTTTATTAAAAAATTTTATTGTTGTTACAACATTGTGTGTTTTTCAAGTAGTATAATAATACTGCTCTCTGTAATGACAGAAACGCCCATTATATCAGCTAAATCAGATAATCATTACCCATAATGCCATTTAAGATCAGGAATTACTTGTAATTTGCAATAATCATCAAAGAATAAGCTAAAAGCATATGGAATTACATCTGTATTAACATTATCCTTTTGAATCTGCTTTAATACTGTTTAATATATTGTTTGGGATAAAAGCATTAAAACTGGGACACTCTGCTAATACACAGGATTTCATGGAGAATACTTTTTTTATATAAATAATCGACCACTTTCAGTTTTGACCTGATTATTATTTGTTGGATTGATTCACGTGGGACATTTACTGGTCTGCATTTCTGTTTGAGCAATTGTCCGTTCAAATGCAACTGCATTTAGAGCAGCAGGCCACCATTGTGAACCTGGCTTACAGCTAGCTTTTACAGACAATTTCCAAGCTGTCTTTGAGCAAGACACAGTGTTTTGTACTGCTTTGTGTAATGTAATATGAACTCACAATGATAAAAATCTGTGTTTGTCACACAGTCAGCCACTAGGGGCTGCTGTGTCTAATCGCTGCACACTTACCCTTTGAGGAAAGTGAAGTCTTGGAGAGGTTGAGGAGACGCAGGCCCTTGTTAAGGCGACACACCTGTTGAATAAGGTTGGAAACTCCTGGTAGGAGGAGGGGTGGGGGAAGACAGAGAGGAAAGTCAAGTCATCACTTAAACATAAGAGAACATATATTGATCTATCTACACAATGTCACCAAGAGACCGAGGCCCTGTACAGGCTCTTGGTAAATGCATTGAGGAAATCAATGACTGGTTGTGCCACAATTTTCTCCAGCTAAACAAAAACAAAACTGAGGTAATAGTCTTTGGCGCCAAAGAAAAACGATTACAGGTCACCAGAGAACTTCAATCTATACATCTAAAAACCACAAACCAGGCGAGAAATTTGGGTGTAGTGATGGATGCAGACTTAAACTTAGAAAAACACATTAAGACAATAACAAAGTCAGCTTACTATCACCTCAAGAATATATCAAGGATAAAAGATCTGATGTCTCAACAGGACCTGGAAAAACTAGTCCATGCATTCATCTTTAGTAGGCTTGATTACTGTAACAGCATCTTTACAGGTCTACCTAAAAAAATCAGTCAGACAACTACAGCTCATTCAGAACTCTGCTGCTCGAGTCCTCACTAAGACCAAAAAAGTGGACCACATCAGTCCAGCTCTGAGGTTCTTACACTGGCTGCCTGTCCGTCAGAGGATAGACTTTAAAGTTCTGATGCTGGCCTATAAAGCTCTGAATGGTTTAGGACCAAAATACATCAATGACCTCCTGACCCAGTATGAACCATCCAGATCCCTCAGGTCATCTGGATCCGGTCTTTTATCAGTTCCCAGAGTCAGAACCAGACACGGAGAAGCTGCATTCAGCTTTTATGCTCCTTATATCTGGAACAAACTCCCAGAAAGCCTCAGATCAGCTGAAACACTCAGTTTATTTAAATCCAGGTTGAAGACTCACCTGTTCTCAGCTGCATTTGAATAAAGCACCAAATCCACACTTTAAGCTTAAATTTCAAAACTTACATTTAACTACTGATTTTATCTACTGTTCTGATTTTATCTGTTTTGATTTTATATACTGTTTTGTTTGTTTGTTTGTTTGTTAATTAGTTAGTTAGGTTATTTGCTTGTTTTAATCAATTTTAAATCATGCTTTTTATTTGTTCTTGTTTCTAATGTCTCTGTAAAGCACTTTGAATCACCTTGTTGTTGAATTGTGCTATACAAATAAACTTGCCTTGCCTTGCCTTACACCAAAGACATTAAATGAGCAGTTCAGTGACAAATCACAAAAATGCCAACAGACTTGCTCATTAACAGTGAATTATGAAATGGTTAAGCAACTTGTAGATACTATGTTGGGCTCTGGAAAATGGTGATGGAGAACTGATACATATTTTTTGCAGGTTAAATGAGAAAATACAAAGCAATTGATCTGAAATGTTAGCCTATATTAAATAACATTTTGGTCATTCCATGTCAGTTCACCAAATGTCTCACATGTGACCGGTTTAGATTGGATATGATAGTGGAGCAGTGAAGGGCTGCAAGTGGGATTCAAACTGGGCTGCTGCACACTGGCCATGTGGCATGTGATCACCTGCACACTGACCACCTGGAAAAAAATATTTCAATGAATGAAGGTAGGGGTGTTTTCACATATCTTTTAGTATAACTTGTTTAGAGGCCGTGTTAGAAGGAAATTACATAGAAAACTACTTGAGATGGGTTATTGTTATGGTAAATATCTGGTACTATGACTCTGTAATTATGGACTCTGAGAAGAATGAATCTTTGAAGTCACTCAAATATCTGAATGTCCAGTCTCTGACAGCAGATTTGCAGGCCTAAATCTACAATTTGCAAAATATGCATTATTTAATTTAGACCCTTTAACTTAAAACCAGCAAAATTGAGAAATATTACAAGTTATTAACAATGCTGGCTGCTTTAGATGAATATTAGTATTTCAAATATTCATATTGGGAAAATGAGAGAACACCATCACAAATTTTGGGTATATTAACAGGAAATTGCTCTTAAAATGAGAGAAAGAAAGGTACGTACCTGGAGATTAACACTAAAGTTGAGGTTTTTTTTTTTTTTGCATATTTAAGCTTCAAAATCGGCTAAACCATTCATCATCATATTTTCCATTTGCATGAGAAGATGTAAATAAAATATCAGTCGCATGTCTGCAAAACTCCTGCTTCTACTGCAAATCGCAAATGTTTCCAACAATGTTTGAACCCAGAGAAAGTGACACATCAAGATGGTCATGTGGACCGGGAACATTCTTACTCATTTCAGCACCACTGCATTCTGCTCAGGTCAGACTTTCAATAATGCTCACACAGTCCTATTTTACAAAAAGTACATCACATTGGTAAAGATTTCACTGTCGCTGGCATCGATTTCAAAAGGAGCACATTCTTCACATTCCTCTCCACAGTTTCAATCTCAGTGTTGGTATTTCATGCTTTCTTTGAATCATTTTTTCAGTAGGGGCATAAATCTTAAAAGGCTTGCTTACAGTACATCCCTGCATCTATATGCCCTCACAGAGCTTATATATAGTTTGGCCATGTAACATTAGACTCCCTTATGTATGTACTCTCCAAACCATGTCCTTGTAATTCTAAAAATAAATAATAAATAAAAACCCAACTGACATAATTTACAGCCTTAATTTTTAAACATATTGCAGTGACTAATCCACATGAGCACCTTGTACAAAAGAGTTTCAGCTCAGCAGTTTCATTAAATATACTGTAGCCATGGAGATAATATGAAAGGCTTTGCTTTTATTAAAAATGGAATTCATTGAAATGCCAAAAGTTGTCTCCTAGTTCGTGTCTCCCTCGCATCCTTTTTTTTTTTTTGTTTATTTGTATTTAGAGTAGTTTTACTTTAGGCAACCGCACACACAGACTGAAGGTCATCCTTTGCTGTAAAGATGTGCATTATTGTGATAAGGTTGCAGTCATTTTACAGCTCCAATCACAATAAAGTAAGTATGTGGCCCGCCCCCCCGACACTTGTCACTTGTGAGGTGAGTAGAAGTGACAAGTGTCAGACGTGAGGACAGAAATGAGCTAATAAGTGGCGTTTGCATGCATATAAGGTCTGACTCTGCACACACACTTCAGGCTGCCTGAATTGTATGGCGTTATTTTTGTGCCACTATTCTGTGCGCACATAAAAAAAAATTGCAGGTGCAAGTGTTGCATTTTGAGGAGAAATTTATTTTGAGCAAAGAAAAGCCAAATTTCTTTGCTCAAATGAACAAAATTCATTGCTGCGTGCAAATGAATTTTGCGTTCAAAAAAAATGTATTTCAGTGTTTGCTATTATCCACACACACACACACACACACACACACACACACACAATAGCAGCCCCTCTCACTCAGTTTTTGCACTTGCGCTCGCTCGCAATGTGTTGCTTGCGCTTTCAACATTTCTGCCCGTGCGCGCTCAACTCTTTCTGTACACCGTTATATTTGTGCCACAAAACCAGCCAATCACAGACTTCGATGCAAAAAAATCTGATTGGCTCTTTTGGTCTCCAATCAGCTCGAAATGACGAAATGCAATATCCCAGAATCCATTTCGTCCAAAACTCAAACGAGGCAGTGGCGGAGGAACACAGAGTGGCGGAGTTTAAAATATTACTCTTTCTGGGTCACAAGATAAACTTTTAAGATATTTTCATGTGAAAATGGTGCTGTGTAACCTTCAAATATCTGCTTGATTCATCAAGACATCACATATTTGCATAAGTGTTCTAACGTTTTCGGAGATGCCTGTTACCCACCAGCTGACCGCATTTGCCCGGTCGGCCGATGGTGATTTTTCCTTTTTATGTTTGTTTGTTTGTCTTTGTTTGTCTTTGTAACAGTATAAACAATGAAAGGTGGTGGATTAGCCAGTTGGTCATGATCAACTCTGGGCTGGACCAATTACAATACATCCGTATTGAGGGGAAAAGGAATCCCGGACTTCAGGTACAATGAAAAAGACACAAGCTGCCCCTTCTTCTCTCAACCTCTCCCCTCCCTCTCCTGTTGCTACTTCAATCATGAAACTGATCAATGATCAGCTGATCATCTCTCTTGTTTGTTTATCGCCCACTTTGCGCCAGAAAGAGGAAATCAGCAGGTGTCGCGCTAAACAACAGCAGCACGTTCAAGCTTGATAAGCTGTTGTTAGAATTTATTCAATATTACTTGGAGACCAAAACAGCCAATCAAATTTTTTTTTGCATCCAAGTCTGTGATTGGATGGTTTTGTGGCACAAATATAACGGTGTACAGAAAGAGTTGAGCGCGCACGGGCAGAAATGTTGAGAGCGCGAGCAACACAATGCGAGCGAGCGCAAGTGCAAAAACTGAGCGAGAGGGGCTGCTATTGTGTGTGTGTGTGTGGATAATAGCAAACACTGAAATACATTTTTTGCACGCAGCAATAAATTTTGTTCACTCAAATTTGGCTTTTTTTTGCTCAAAATAAATTTCTCCTCAAAATGCAACACTTGCACCTGCAATTTTTTTATGTGCGCTCAGAATAGTGGCACCAAAATAACACCATAGAATTGTGCGTGTTTATTTTTCACTTGCAGAGACAGATCACAAAGTGGCAAAGTGTGTGTGTCTGTGTGTGTGTGTGTGTGTGTGTGTGTGTGTGTGTGTGTGTGTGTGTGTGTGTGTGTGTGTGTGTGTGCAGAAAGGTCTAAGAGGTTCGGATTGTGTGGTGAGCGGTGAGACCAGAAAAATAAAGGATTTCTCCACAGTGAAAGACCAATCAAAACCTACAGCTTGAAATATATGAAAGAAAAAAAATGAGAAAAAACAGACATAAAAGAAAATAAAAGGTTCTGTGAGGACAGGGATTGATTCTGAATTCTTTGAAAGCAAACAAAAGCTGTGAAGTAATAACATGGGGCAGAAACCCCCCCCCCCCACCCCCAAAAAACAATCAAAGTTGCCCTGAGAGAGACAGCGGGAGGAGGGAAGAAGAGTTCATAAGAGTCCAGGTTGGTACCTTGGTTGTCTAGTGTGTTATGAGCCAGGTTGAGAGAGTGAATCACAGAGGCTGGGTTCTCTGATAACGCAGATGCCATCTTCTGTGGAAAATCCCTGTGGACAACATTAAAAAGAAAAGTTTTATTTCTGCAAAATTGAAAATTCAATACCGATCTCAGATACTGACGAAACAAATCTCCTGTCTTACCTCAAAGCACTTTACAATAATTCCAGTGTTTTGCTTAAACATACCAATTAATTGATAAAGGTACTTTAGATTTTTTTAAATTAAGCTAGCATTGCTTTTGCACATGCTTCAAAAAATGTAATGTAATTAAATCAGGTAAACTTTCTAATATTTCAAATTCATCGCATTTCAGGCCATTTTTGTTTTCATTTTGACAATTGGGTCTCATAGTTAATCAAATTCAGAAGTCCAGCATCTCAAATTATTAGAATATGTCATTCCAAGCTTAAATAAAAAATGGTTCAAAACATATAAACATGCATCTTTTGGTTTAGCTCAGCACACTTAGCTGCAATCATGGGGAAGACTGCTGACTTGATAGTTTTCCAGATCATCAACATCCTTCAGGAGAGTAGGCCATGAAAGCTCAATGCTGAAAAGGCTGTCTGTGTGCAGAGGTCTGTGTCGAACAGTATGCATGGAAAGTTGACTGGGAGGGAAAAGTGTGGCAGGAAAAAGTGCACAAACAGTCTTGAGAGAACTGTCAAGAAAAGGCGAGAACACAGGAGAGCCGTGCTGCAAGTGAACTGCGGCTGCTGTCAGAGCATCAAAAGTCACCGCCCACAGACGTCTTTAAGAAAGGAGCTACAAATCTGTCGTAGTCCTCATATCGTTTCACTCCTGAACCAGAGGCAATGTCAGAAGCATCTTACCTGGGATAAGGAGAAAAACTCGGCTCGTGCTCAGTGGTCCAAAGTCTTCTCTTCAGATGAAAAAAAGGTTTCATTTCTATTGAAAATTAATTTTCTAGAGTTTTGAGAAAGAGGAAGAGTGGAGAGCCACAAGTTTGTAAAGTCTGACAATATGGAGTGCCACGTCATCTGCCAGAGTTGCTGAAGATTGGTTCACTGGTCTACCAAAAGCCTTCAGGACACTTTATGCTTCCATCCAGCATCTCCATCAGCTTTATGGAGATGCTGATTTCCTTTTCCAGCAGGACTGGACAGTACCTGCCTGACCACAGTGCCATAACTACTACCAAATGATTTGCTGACTGTGATACTGCTGTGCTCGATTGGCCAGACAACCCTCCTGACCTAAATCCCACAGGGAATCTATTGGGGTATTATTAAGAAGAAGATGAGAAGCACCGGCTATCAAAGCAAGCTGGTCTTCAATAACGCCTCAGCAGTGGCACAAGCTGATGGCCTCCATGTCGCACAGAACTGATACAGTAATTGCTGGTAAAAGAGCCCCAATCACACATCAAGCTGGACATTTCTATATTTAAATCATCTTTTATAACAAATATTGTTATAATATGTGATACTGGATTTCTGATTTTCATAAATATTGAGCTCAAAATTAAAACAAAAATGCTTGTACACTGAACAAAAATATAAACGCAACACTTTTGTTTTTGCTCCCATTCCCCATGGGATGGACGTAGAGACCTAAAATTCATTCCAGATACACAATATAACCATCCCTCCCAAACAGTGATCACAAATCAGTCCAAATGTGTGGTAGTGGGCACATCTGCTATATTGAGATAATCCATCCCACCTCACAGGTGTGCCACATCAGGATGCTGATCTGACATCATAAGTAGTGCACAGGTGTACCTCAGACTGCCCACAACAAAAGGCCACCCTGGAATGTGCAGTTTTGTCTCACAGCAAAATGCCACAGATGCCACAAGCAATGAGGGAGCGTGCAATTGGCATGCTGACAGCAGGAATGTCAACCAGATCTGTCGCCCGTGCATTGAATGTTCATTTCTCAACCATAAGCCGTCTCCACAGGCGTTTCAGAGAATATGGCAGCACATCCAACCGGCCTCACAACCGCAGACCTCGTGTACCACACCAGCCCAGGACCTCCACATCCAGCAGGTTCACCTCCAAGATCGTCTGAGACCAGCCACCAGACAGCTGCTGGAACAATTGGTTTGCACAACCAAACAATTTCTGCACAAACTGTCAGAAACCGTCTCAGGGACGCTCAACTGCATGCCCGTCGTCCTCATCGGGGTCTTGACCTGACTCCAGCTCGTCGCCGTAACAGACTTGTGTGGGCAAATGCTCACATTCGATGGCGTCTGGCACGTTGGAGAGGTGTGCGCTTCACGGATGAATCATGGTTCACATTGTTCAGGGCAGATGGCAGCTGAGAATGTCCCAGTTCTTGCATGGCCAGCATACTCACCGGACATGTCACCCATTGAGCATGTTCGGGATGTGCTTGACCGGCGTATACGACAGCGTGTACCAGTTCCCACGAATATCCAACAACCTCGCACAGCCATTGAAGTGGAGTGGACCAACATTCCACAGGCCACAATTGACAATCTGATAGACTCCATGCGACGATGTGTTGCACTGCATGAGGCAAATGGTGGTCACACCAGATACTGACCGGTTCTGGGTCCCCAGACCCCCAATAGCGCAAAAAACTGCACATTCCAGGGTGGCCTTTTGTTGTGGGCAGTCTGAGGTACACCTGTGCACTACTCATGATGTCAGATCAGCATCCTGATGTGGCACACCTGTGAGGTGGGATGGATTATCTCAATATAGCAGATGTGCCCACTACCACACATTTGGACTGATTTGTGACCACTGTTTGGGAGGGGTGGTTATATTGTGTATCTGGAATGAATTTTAGGTCTCTACGTCCATCCCATGGGGAATGGGAGCAAAAACAAAAGTGTTGCGTTTATATTTTTGTTCAGTGTAATAGTCAGTTTACATCTAAAGATTATGGAATTTATATAAGTTGATCTTTTAAAAAAACAGAAAATTTCAAGAAAATTTCAAGACTTTCTATTTTTGAGATGCACTAGTACAACTTATTCTGTCTTTTAGCCAATTGGTAGCTTATTCTCAGCTGACCAAGGCTAGTTTGAACAAAACTCTGATGAACAGATTACAGCCAAGCAAAGTTAGCTAGTAAACTTGCTCCATCTAACTTGTAAAGAGTCAAACATTTCCCTCTGGAGAGAAACAAGGACTGTAAATAATTGACTTACTTTTGTCTGTCGGCTACAAACACCACTCAGAATGAAAGCTAATGTTTATCAATGTCCACTGCTTCCCAACACTTCTGCACATATTGCTCATCCACAGAACAATATGTACACAATGGCAGAACAAATTAATTATACAGTAGCAGATTTATAAACCCCACAGGAACATCCTAATATATATATATACACATATTCATTAGTGGAAGTTTAACCACTTGGAACAAGATGTCTCCTACAGCCCTGAAAGCAAGGCAAGTTTCCAAGTTAGTTTGACTTCTGGAGTTTGACTGGGTCCCAAATTAGCTGTATTGTTATAAATCCCGCTCGCAGGTACATCTCTTAATTTCTGATTGTAGACACAACAATTTCACCAGAAGATTTACCAGTTACCAAAACATATATCTCACAGGTAGAGTTCCCAAAGATCTAAAAGGTAAAATAGACAAAAAACATTTACATTCAATGTTGTTCCCAAAGTTTTATTTGGGCAGAATTGCTATTTATTTCAAGGCAAATCTCCAAGCATTCATGTAGTCAGGATTACTCGATCTCCTTTAATGTTTGAAGTAAACAATCAAGTGAAAAGTGACATTTTATATTTGTGCCGGAAATCTGTGTTGAAATTCCACATCAGAAACTATATTTGTCAGTATAGGCGCCTTAAATCATATACTATTTGAGTATCTTAACATATTGTATTATATTGAAGTCTATTATTCTCTTGTTGAAGGTAAGAGCTTTTGGCATAGTGCTTGTAGAGCACCTCCAACAAAAATGACCCTTTCTATTGGAAGTGATTTAACACAGGGGAAGTATAAAAACTCCATCAATATGCTGCAGTAAATCATCGTGCCCTCGGGCAGCCAATTCATCTCAATTAATACTAAATAAGAAAACTGCTCTGCTAAATGATACAAGCCATACATAGAAGGTGGAATGTCTTGCCAGATGAAGCCCAAAATTTCACATCTATTTCAATGGAGAAACAATACACCTGCTACAAGCAGATAGGTGGGGAGGCTTTATTTGAGCTTTATTGGATGAAAGAGTGGAGGTTAAGAGAGGCGAGAGACAGCAGGGGAGGGGAGGAGAAGTGGAGAGGTGAGGTGAGCTTAGGTGGAGAGGTGAGACAAGACTTGTGTAAGTGAAAAGAGAGGAGACAAAGGAGGAGAAAGAGTGAGAAAAGATTGGAGAGTGCAAAAGGATAAAAGAGAAGAGGTGAAGGGGCAAGGAGAAGAAAAGGAGAGGAAATTAGATTAAGAGAGGCGAGGGTAGGGCTGATGATGATGTCAGGAAATAGGAAACCTACGATTTGAGTCCCGCATTCTCCAGAGTGAGCTCCTCCAGACTGTTGGACTTGCTGATTGTGTGTAGAACCTGGTCCACCACCTCTGACCCCTGCAGAAAAAACACACAGCACATGTGGAACGTGGTGGTGTCGAGCCGCAGTGGAGGCCAGAAAAAGTGAACTACAAGCAGGGCTGTAACAAAATAATCTACAACTTATTTATTTATTTTTTGCATCTATTTTATTGTTGTGCCTATAAAAGATTAAGTACATAAATAGAAAAAAAAAGCCCATGATAGTTTCCTAAAACCCTTGATGCTCTATTCTACAAATTACTTTTTGTCTAATGATCCAAAACCAGGATCTACTCATTTATTTTTTCAAAAAAACAAAAAAAACAAGCTGTAAATCCACCCAGTGCACAATGGAAATAAGGTGCTGTATCTGCCCTGTATCTGCTTTTAAAGAGGAAGCCTATAGACTGATGTTAGAAAAAAATCTTTAAATGAACTTCAAATCATATCTTATCTTTGGTTTTACACACAATGCCTTCGAATAGGCACAAAATCAATCAGTGTCTTAATTATAATGAGTATAATTACCATTTCATTTTTGTTGAAACTAAAAATAAGAGTTAACTCTATGATAAAGTTTCAATAAATTACCATATTCTTTGGACCATAAGACACATCGCATTATAAGGCGCATTAAGCGAAACAAAACAGTCAGATAAGTCAAACTTTACTCAGCTCATTCTTCTTACTTCCTCCACTTCCCTACCATTGATTCATTAATGTTTAATTCTCTCACAGCCACTCTATTCCCATGTTGTTGCAGTATATTAATGACTAACCTCGTATTGTGGATGGATTATCTCAGTTGTTCTCCTAACTGACGTTTGGTCGGTTTACTATGGGGCGCCGTTTGTAAAGTGAAACATGCTGAAATTAACGGCAACATTTTTCCACATTTAGCTCAAAACAAGTCATTTTTTACAACATTTAGTAAAATATTTGTAACTTTTCATATTTAAAACAGAATTTTGAATGTTAAATCTAAATGTTAAATATTCAATCTAAAGGTTAAATGGCCTGTATTTATATAGCGCTTTACTAGTCCCTAAGGACCCCAAAGCGCTTTACATATCCAGTCATCCACCCATTCACACACTGGTGATGGCAAGCTACATTGTAGCCACAGCCACCTGGGGCGCACTGACAGAGGCGAGGCTGCCGGACACTGGCGCCACCGGGCCTCTGACCACACCAGTAGGCAACGGGTGAAGTGTCTTGCCAAGGACACAACGACCGAGACTGTCCAAGCCGGGGTCGAACCGGCAACTTCCGATTACAAGGCGAACTCCCAACTCTTGAGCCACGATCACCCTTAAATGTTAAATCTAAATATTATATTTAAATCTAAATGTTAAATGTTAAATCTAAATATTATATTTAAATCTAAATCTAAATGTTAAATCTAAATGCTAAATGTTAAATGTTAAATCTAAATGTTTAGGCTAACATGCAAATTTATTGCACGGATCAGCGGAAATACCAAAATAAAAGCTTTCCGAAAACCTTCGGTGCAAAAGTGTGCCGGTAGTGGTCAGACACGTTCTCACTCCCAAAGCATAATAATTTTCGCTAGGTGACAAATTGTCAACATTTTATGCTTTCGGTTACCCAACACGTTCCTAAATGACGGCAACAGAAAAAGGAGAGCACATGAGAACCGTTTGGACTCAATCTACACGTTCGTTCATTTTCTAAAAATCGCTTTGGAAAACACTATTTACGTATTTAACTGCTAGTAAAGGTTAGGAATAAGTTATAGTTAGATAAGGTTAGGTTAGGGCTGGAACACATGGCTGGAAACGTCTATTATGGCGGGACCGTCATTCCACTGGAATTCAGCCATAACCCGACCATGAGAAAGCACGTCCGGCGATTTAGCTGAAAACATCGGAAGATCCATTTTGTTGGCCATCCAAAGGTTTAGCAGTAGTGCACTCTTAGCAGCTGCAGTCTCCACTTCACAATCGCTGCAGCACATGTCCAGCAAAATCGCTGGACATGCTCGTAGGCAAGAAGTGAAGCAGCACATGGCGGGGAGAAGCAAGGAAGAGAACAGACACGATTTTGCACCGGAGGTTTTCGGGAAGCTTTTATTTTGGTATTTCCGTTGATCCGTACAATACATTTGCATATTAGCCTAAACATTTAGGTTTAACATTTAGCATTTAGATTTAAATATAATATTTAGATTTAACATTTAACATTTAGATTTAACATTTAACATTTAGATTTAACTTTTAACATTTAGATTTAACATTTAACATTTAGATTTAACATTTAACATTTAGATTTAAATATAATATTTAGATTTAACATTTAACATTTAGATTTAACATTTAACATTTAGATTTAATATTTAACATTTGATGAAAAGTTACAAATATTTTACTAAATGTTGTAAAAAATTACTCGAAAAACATTTTTTTGTAAGGTTTTGAGCTAAATGTGGAAAAATGTTGCCGTTAATTTCAGCATGTTTAACTTTACAAACGGCGCCCCATAGTTTACAGCATCCTGCCACGCGATTGTATTTGTCCCTAACCATCGGGAACCTTCACGTTAACTTTTATCGAGTGGAAAAAATTAGCATTCATCCTCCAGCATCACTGTGTTTATGTTATGCTAACATAGCTGTGTCGCTAGCGATCACGTAGCACAATGTTATATACCAGCTAGTCCAACTTCAGTAACCCTACAAATGTCACTACTGTTTAGTTTCCTGTCTTCATTTATGTTGGAAGTGATAGCAGAGCTGTACGTTTTAATTTTTTCAGAAATCTCTCAGTCAGAACATGGTATATCATGTTTAGGTGCAAACTAGCGAGCTAACTTCCTGCTAACTTCTAACTCTGTTAAATTTAATAGATTCTGTTTTCATGATGCCAGGATGTTAAACTTAATTGTTACACCTGGTAAAGCAGCAACGCTGATCATTTTATTAAAGATGAAAGACAGTTTTTAACTCTCAGTGACGCCACAGTGTTCGTTTGACTTTGGGACCTGAAGCAGATGGAGTTTAGGACTCAGATCACTCCAGGAAGCTCCTGACTAAGGTAGCCGTAATGCTCCGACAATTTAGTGTTAGCATGGTAACTATTAAGTGTTTTGAGAAACACAAAGAAATGATAATTTTCTAAAAACGCCAAAGAGACAAGCTGATTTAATAAAATAATAAATCAATAGACAACACAAGAGAGCAAACGTTTACATTTACAAACATTGTTTGTCTACATCTGGAGAGACAATTCTTAAGTGAGGGAGATTTAAAAAAAAAGATATTTACTATGCGCATGTCTTTGCAGTACAGCTTGGTGAACCAGGTGTTGTAGGCAATGGATGCCACAATGACTGCCAAGTCCCTGGAAAGAAGATGACAGATAAAATTCAAAACTTTAAATTAGCAAACTCCATCTGCTCAAAACCATTTGATCCCATTGATCTATAAATTTGCATTATCTCAGGCCAAACTTATTCTATGCTCTGCATTTAGTAAAAAGCAGTTTATCATTGTGACAGGGAGAACAGCACGGGCAGTGCTGCTTTCTAAAAGATGACTGATACTGCAGTCCTGCTGAGGAGAAGAAGCAGAGTGAAATGGAAAAAAAGGAAAGGAGAGAGAGATGTAAAGATCGATGGCCGGGTCAGTGGATTATTCAATAAAGCCACACTCTGATCCCAACTACAGACCTCAAACACTGCTACATCCACTACTGTACACCCAGACATAGAGCCCACAGATGATCCTGTGTATGCGTTTGGGAGGGAGAAAGTGAGAGAACAGAGAGAGCGAGAGAGGGTGTTATTTAGAATCCTCCAAGGTCCAACTATGGCCGTACTGCTGCTACACCTGCTATACATCATCTGACAAACAAGCAGCAACACAGAGAGAAGGGATGCACAGAGAAAGCGAATACACACAGGGAAAGACGAAGAAAGGATGATACGGAGGAAAACACAGAGTGAAAGGGGGGAAAGGAGGAGGAAAGAGTGTAATCGGACCAAGGATGTTTCTGTTGCAGTAACCAGGACATTACAGTTTATCTCAGAGGAATAAAATGGCTACAGGCTGTGTTCTTTTTTCATTAGCATGACAGCCGTCAGGCCAGTCCATTCTGACAAACACGGCCAAGTCTGTGCAAGCGAGCAGATGATGCACACATCAAGATTCATCAGCACTGTCTGATTCATGTTTTGACAGCAGGACATGTAATTGACCTCTATGATCCAGCTCAGTCGTGCAGTGTGTTGGTGTTTATGTGTCAATTTGTACTGGTACGTGCGGACGCGGTGGCACAGTGGGTCAATCTGCTGCAGTTTATGTCCTTAATTGGATCGTTTTAGGTTTAGGACAGGGATATGAAACTTTATCCCTTTCAAACTTCAGTCATCTGCAGCAAGAAGGAATTAGAGGCAAGAGAGCAGAGTGGCCAGTCAACAGTCATTTCTTACAGTGCTCTGGGGAAAATGCACATCGATATCAACATGGATACTTGACCGATTTTCCTGCATACGGGTCAGGAATAGACACCCCCCGAAGCTTTTTCCTTTAACAATAACATTTCAGAGACTACTTTTCTAACCAGTGAAGAGGAAATAAAGTGTGAAAAACAGGATTACCAAGATACAGTTGGAGCAATCACAGAGAAAGGTGTCAAAGGAACCCCTCTACTTTAGCTGTCTTACGCCTGCCAGGACTATTCTTCCTCACTAACCAAAAAGGAAAATAAAGTATAAATGCACATAAATACTGTATTTTGAGCATTTCGTGATCTGTTATCAAGGACTCCATTTGAAATAAAAACACACCACAGGTTAGACAGCAATTTTTACAAACAGTTTTAAAAAATTGGGATTACCAAAAATTATGGGTTTACCAAATATTAAATTTTATTATTGGACTAATAATTTAAGAATAACTCAATTCTGATTGCAATCTGACTCATTTTGGCTGTCATCAGTTTGGCTTACAATGGAAGCTGCTTCTCGTGAGTTGGTATCTCTGTCAGCCTCAGCTCACTCCATGAAAAGTTCCTCTTCTGAGTATAATAAAGACATTATTGTCTTTAGTATAATAAGGCTGGGAATCTGGAGGCAATCCAAGCACAATTTTCATAGCCAAACATATTCAATATCTGCTCCTGTAACTGTAAATCATGTCTTTCGTCCATATTTAACAGATGAATCATTTCAAACTTGGCCCAACCTCATGTAAATATCTCTATATTAATAAAACGTTTGCCCCTTTCCATCAGTTGTCTGATAAAGTTGGATAACCTAAACATAATTTCTTTAGATATTTACAAATCTGTAGATTTATGAGCAAAACATTCCCTTAGTGTCCAGGTTTTCGATACTTGAACTAGAAAGGAATGATTTCATATACTGTATTTATTCTCAGAATCCCTCCTTTCATCTGGTTTCCCTGAAATCTTTCAAAACATGCCCTTCATAATGCACATAAATCATCTTTTTGGATTAACTCCATTTAAAAGCATGCACCGCTTACATTTATTACGAAGTTTAACATTTCTCAATTTTATAAAGACAAACCTAACTTGTGACAGGTGTTGTCAAGTCCCAGGAAAATCACGTTCATGTTTTGATCTTGCACGGTTTTGCAGCACTTCTGTGAAGAAATTTTGGATCCTGATCAAATATCACTGGAAAACCAGTGGAACCTAATGCTCTGATGGATTGTGTTTTTTATACTGCCTTTGCTACTTTACTGCCTAAATGTAAAACACGACTTAAGCGAAAATCTCCCATAGCTCCCCTACATATTCAATGGATAAGAGAAGCTGTTAGTATGTGTTGCTGCTCTACTTTGAAACAGCTAAGGGCCTTCAGACAGAAATTTAACATGATGTGGGACCTTTTTCACAAATACGTTAAACAGTTGGACTTTTCAAATATCAGATTCTATATGAAGCTTTTTTAAGGCATCGCAGGTTAAGAGTTATTGTTGTTCACGATTTATTTATTTATGTTATTTATTTATTTATCATTTTTGATATGGATATGTAAATTGGAAAATACAGCAACTTGAAATTTGTTTTATGCAACTTGTACAATATCAATAAGGCTGAGCTGGTCTCTTTAAAGGAATATGCCTGCTCTTCCCACTGCTTAGCTTTGATCACAATTACTGTCACTTTTGTTGTTGTTTTTTATTGTCCTGTTGCCAAATTCGATACATTAAAACAAAATTAAAGAGTGTTCAAGTTCGATCAGATGATTGTTTTTACAGATAGTCCTGCCCTATCGACTGCACACTTCTATCTGCGAAATCAGTTTTGGCTAAAGGCAAGAGAGGATTTTAAGGACTGGATAATATATAATAATTAGGTTTACATATATACACACACTCACTGATAAACATGTATTTGTCCACAGGAAAGGCTGAACTCCACTGAAGATAATAGTGGTGCTTGACAGGAGGATCCTTTCCATAGCAAAGAAAAATCCATTCAGAATATAATAACCTTCGGAACAGAAAGGCCAGATAAGAGTTTGACAAAAAACATCTAAAAAAGCCAGACCAGCTCTGAAACTGGCTCCTTTGCACAGATGAAAAGATTGCCTGTGGCAAAATGACTGAAGGAAAGAGAAAAGCATGGAGAGGGCTTGGAAAAGCTCATGAACGGAGGCATAGTACAACCCCTAGAAAACACAATGAAGAAAGTGTGATACGTGGGCACGTGTGGTCTATCATGGCTCTGGGTCACTAGTGTTAACTGATGATGTTAACAGATGAGTAAACTGTGAGGAGGAGAGTTAAAACTTCTGCTTGGATTCAGCCAAGTGCAGCAAAGTTATCTGGACAGCGATTCACGGTATAGACAGACAAACACTGCAAGAACTACCCAGAAGGGTTTTTAAAGGTCATGATGGGCAATTATGCAAAGGGCAGTCAATCAACTCATCTTAACCCAATCAAGCATCGATTACAATGAAGGAAAAACAAAAACACAAGGAAGCAAGGACAAACAACAACTGAAGACAGCTTAAGTAAAGGCCTGATCAAGCATCGCAAATCCATAGTTTGGTGATGTCAACGGGTCCCAGACTTTAAGCAGCTATTACCTGCAAGGAATTGTCAATAAAGCATTAAAATAACAGTTTAATTTATGATTATGGTAATTTGTCCAATTACATTTAAGTGCCTGAAATGAAAAATGTCTATAACTCTTCAATGCTGCATGCAGTATTTCTGTTAAAAGACAGAGAACATGTGCACTTTAAGCAAATATTCATATTCAATAACTCATAACTATAGCTTCATGTTCTGGTAAATGGCTAAAATAACTACAAAAAACAAAGTGCCCAGAAATGTGTGGAATTAACTGTATACAGTTCTTCCACAAGCATAGTTGGAAAATATTAGGTTCTTGTTACTGGGTGTACTTTAGAGAATATAATTGGAGCACATAGATGTCAAACATACAGACTGTGGGCCAGAACTAGCAGGCCAAAGGGTCCAATTTGACTCAGTGGGTTGCAGAGGAGGAAGCCATAATTTCTGGACCATTAAGCATTGTGTTGCAGGCTGTTAAGAACGGATCATGTCATAGAATTGCTTGTCCAAAACTATTAATTTTATCTAGGCAGAGGTCTGATTTTTTGTCAGTTTTACAGCCTTCTTTTGTACCCGCAACCTGCATACCACACAAAGTAGGTAATTAAGCTAAGAAGCTGTGTATGCACATTTCCTTGATTTACAACAGTCACATTTCTTTATAATGAAAATAGATTGGCAGAAAGTGGAAAAAAATTAGACACAGTTGAAAATTGCCCTTATTTTTCTTAAGACATGTCAGGCTGTGTCATGGTCCTGGGTTTTAGAGCCAGTGTTTTTTAATTTTGCACTTTCTAGTTCTGTTGGTTGTTCGTTTTATCTTGGTTCTTGGTTTACTTTTCATGTATTATTCAGAGATTTTGTGTTATTCCTTTTGCTGGTTGGGGTTTGTTATTTACACTATATTATTATGTATCATTATTTATTATTTAAACTATAAATGTATTATTTATAGCCACAGAGTGCTATTAGTTTTGCTGTCTAGTTTCTGTTCAGGGTTATAGTTTGTTAATATTGCATTTCTTCCTTCAGTTTATCCTGCCTCCCCCATACTCTCCGGGTCTTCTTACGTCTCCTTCACTGTGTTAATGTTCCTATTTTCAGTTACTTCCTGTTTTATTTTGATAGTGTCTTGTTTCATGTGTGCTGTATTTAGTTTTGCTTCCCTTGTCTTGTTTTCCCCGATTAGTTCCAGCTGTGTACCCCAGTGTTTCCCATTACCCTAGTTATGTAGAGTGTATTTATAGCCTTTGTCTACCCTAAGGGCTTTGTTGCATCTTACTG